CAAGAGACTTCTTTTCATCTATGACGCATAGCCCTAGACTCGTGCCAAGATGGGGTCAGATGCATCGACATCCAAATGTCGTGAGCAGAGCATGTAGCCTTTGTGCGGAAAGCAGCTTCGTTATTGCAACATTCAAGTTCCCGACTCTCCATGTGTCACTCCAGCAACGAGGCTGCTTTGCTGGAATTGGGTGGAATTACTGGACTAGGCTGCTTCTAGGAAGCGATAGTAGAAGTAGCAGTAGTAAAACTGGATAGAACACATCGTCAACTCCGGTTTCAGAGTGGTAGCCGTGTTAGTCTGTATCAGCAAAAAGAACAAGGAGTCCTTGTGGCACCTTAGAGGTACAAGGCCTCCTTGTTCTTTTTATCATCGACTCATGCTTTTAGAGTGAAATATAGGATGGGAGAACCTCAAAAGTATCCCAGAGACTGATTGTAAACCTACCCTGACAAATCTCTCAGGGCTGCCAATCTAGCCCATCCTCTTGCACTCACTTTCCTTGCCCTTCGCTTTGGTGCCCATCTAGATCCAAACTAGAGCAAATGGGCTTAAGACCAAATTGTTACGGGTCTGCTGCCACAAACTCCAGACTAGATGCTGTATGGGGTTTGGCAGAGCCGTATAGTTCTTTTCCCCAGTTACCTGCTGTCCTCATGGATCTGAGATTCCTAAATGCCTTTTAAACATTATTTTAAATTTCTAGGGGCCCTTTGAATGATCATTGCCTAGTAACCACGTGTTACAGGGGACAGATGGTCTGGTGGTTAAGGCACTGGGCAGGGATTTAGGGGACTGAGGTTCATTTCTTGACTCTATGACAGAATTCCTGGATGACCATGGGCAAGTCCCTTAATCTGAGCCTCACTTTCGACAGGCTTAACACTCACTTAGACAATCTTTAGCTCTCTCAGGGTAGGTATGATTTTAGTTACCAGGCTGATAAGTGTTGTATGAAAACATCACATAGATAGGGGCTGCGATTCTTAAAAGGCAGGTGCTAGAGTAGGGTAAAAGTAAAGCTCCTCACGAGGTAAGATGCACAAATCTCATTGACTTTCATAAGAACTCGTGTTCCTAACTCCCTTTCTGTGCTTTCAAAAAATCCCACCCTGATTCTACTAGTCCAGTCCCCTTCCCCTGCTGCTGCTGCGGAACCCTGGCTTTCTAATGTGCTGAACAAAGGCCCTGGAGATGTTGGCTGAAGAGCGCCATGGGGCTGCAACTCAAATCAAGTGGAGTGCTAAGTGTTGTCAGAAGTCCCACAGGGACAGGACCAGCAAGGCAGACCTCGCTACAGCAGTGGTACCTTACCATGTGATCGCTTCTAGACCACTAGGGTGAGAAGGCAAAAACACAGGAAGAAAAGAGAGTCCATGGTTAAGACACCAACCAAGGACTGGAGAGACCTGGGATCAATTCCCTACTCCAGCACAGACTTCCCGTGTGACCTTGGGCAAGCCACTTAGCTCATCTGGGCCTCAGCTCCCCATCTGTAAAATGGGGATAATAGCACTGGCCTGCCTCCCAGGGGTGTGGTGAGGATAAATACATTAGATTTTGAGATGCTCGGGTACTACAGTGATGAGGCAGTATAAATATCCAAGATACACATTCAGGGCAGAGGGGAGCCAGTGAGGACATTTAGATGAGGCTGCTCTAGATAATTTCCAAACTGGTTTGCCCATCACTAGGTTCAATATACCGTACACACAGTGGGACAGATCCTCAGCTTGTTGAAATCACTGTAGCTCCATTGATTTCAAAATCCTACCTTGGCTTAATGTAGAGACACTTCTGGACCATTGCTAATTCTTACCCACCTGCTGTGGTCTTTTCTTCTTCTTCCTCATTTGCACTGAGTATCCCTTTGGCTTCCTTCATATTCATCCTTGAGACTTCATCTTCACTTTCCCGCTTGTGCGCGTTGCTTTCTTATTAAAATTAGCATGTTCCTCCCTCTCTTCCTTCTTCCCTCTGAAATGAATAGTCCCATTCATTGCAGTGGCAATTTATTTGTACAGGTATCAGGTTTGGATATGGAGCGTCCCACTGAGATCAGAGAGAGATTTGCATAGGAACAGGCCACGCATACATTGCTGTTGTTTGAAGGAGAGCTGAGCGTTTTTCCTTGAAGGCCCTGATCCAGGTCCATGGAAGTCAATCGGCATCTTTCCACTGACCTCTGTGGCTGTTGGATCAGGCCCTAAATGAGCTGTTTGAGTCACGGGAAGCCTGAAGCCAGTTTTGGCATTCCGACTCCCCTACTGGAAAATGTAACCTATTGCATGAGCTGTGTTACTCGTAAGAGATTTGACCCTGTGTGCTATGGTAGTTCTGGATGCCTGGGAGAAGAATGAGGTCATTCTCTATAGTAATGGGGGATGGGGGGAGGAATCATTAACCTTAAGGAGAAACACAAACTCTATCTTGACTTCCATGTGGACAGCTGTTGGGGAAGCTGTTCCACGTCAGTAGCTCCGAGATAAGCTGTGATGTTGTTTGGGTTGTACTCTTACTGTTATTGTTACTTATATGTAAAGTGTCACGTCCGGTAGAATAAGCTAATAGGACAGTATATTTTGGCCTGGTCTCCAGTGGGATTTTGCGCCAAGTCCAGCAGTCGATGGCCAGCCACCCAAGTCATTGCGCCAGTGCAAATTCCACTGTAGACAGGAAAATTGTTATTTACACAGTGGTGTTTCATCGGTTTGCTGGACTCAGAGCAAATTCCCCAGGTTAGAGAATGCCTGAGAGATGTGATTAATACCAAATAATCACTCCTCCGTTTTAATCACAGTTACTGGTAAAATCCCAGTATTTACAAGTAATTCCCCATTTCCACTTGCTTGTGAAAAGCACTGGGACTTCTTGGTCTTACTGGTACCTGATTTGTGTTGCAATGGGTTGTGCCAGGTGACGAGCCAAGCCAAGCCGATGCAGCACAAGGCAGACATTTGAAGTTGCCCATTGGGGCTCAGCCAGACCAAAATAGAAGTAACCTAATGTAGAGAAGTCACAATAAAATATAAAGGGCTCCCAGGCAATAGAACAAAGGCTCATGAGCAGTTAAGTTAGGTTATATAAATTGATCTGGAGGCAGTGGACTGGTGTTTACAGTCAAGCCCAGGAGTGATGGTAAATTGTTGGATCCACAAAGTTAGCCAAATAAAATCATAAGGCATTAGAGTAGTGAACACTTGCTACCACCCAGTATACTGGCTTAATAATAATATAATATATATGGACATATACCTATGTCATAGAACTGGAAAGGACCCTGAAAGGTCATTGAGTCCAGCCCCCTGCCTTCATTAGCAGGACCAAGTATTGATTTTGCCCTAGATCCCTAAGTGGTCCCCTCAAGGATTGAACTCACAACCCTGGGTTTAGCAGACCAATGCTCAAACCACTGAGCTATCCCTCCCCTCTTGCTCCCGCTTAGGGCATGTCTACACTTACAGTGCTGCAGCGTGTGGGGTGAATACGCTCTATGCCAACGGGGGAGAGCTCTCCTGTCAGCATAAAAAACCACCCCCGTGAGCGGCAGAAGCTATGTCGGTGGAAGACGCTCTCCCACCAACATAGAGCTCTGTGCACACTAGCGCTTATGCTGGTGTAATTTATGTCGCTCGAGGTGAAATATTCATACCCCTGAGTGACATAAGTTTTGTCGACATAAGTGGTAGAGTAGACATAGCTTTAGTAGGGAAAAAATTGCCTTGTGATTAGGGACTAAGACTGAAAACTAGGCTCAGGAAGTGACTGAGTTAATGTACAAGAGGAGAGTCCTAAGAGAAGAATATATGGAGATATACCTAGCTCATAGAGCTGGAAGGGACCCTGAAAGGTCATTGAGTCCAGCCCCCTGCCTTCACTAGCAGGACCAAGTACTGATTTTGCCCCAGAACCCTAAGTGGTCCCCTCAAGGATTGAATTTACAACCCTGGGTTTAGAAGGCTAATGCTCAAACCACTGAGCTATCCCTCCCCCCAAACTTGGATGACTCCTTGCCCTTCCCACCCATTGTCATTCTTATTCTGCATTTCCTTTCTTCACAAAACACTCTGTTCTTTCTGCGCTGGAATGGTCTCCTGCCCCTGTTCCTAACTTACCCCTGGCAACAGTAGGAGAAATCAGAAGTGAGTAACTGAATGCCAGCTAATAGAGTGTGGGCCTTTTCCCAGAAGCTATTTGACAGGGAACAGTTAAATTGAAAGAGGAAGGATTTTCTTATAACTAAAATAAACTGATTGGCTCTGCTTAGTCGTGGTGCTGGGGGCATGATCTACTTGACCTGTTCTCCACTTGCTCTTTAGGTTATAAAGGGGGTGTTCTGTCCATGGCGTCTTTCTCCTGAACACTTGTTGAGATGCTGATCACTCCTGCGCTTGCTTTCAGATCCTCTACATCTCCATTCAATGCAAGTGGCAAATTGCTGGAGGCTCTTCCAAGCAACGTAGTCCCAGAAGATGCTGAATATCATGGGCATACTTTATTTCTTGTGCATGAGTCTTTGAGTCACTGCAAAGATAAATGGAATCAAATTTGAAGTGGCCCAAAAAGGCAGCATTTGGAGCTGGATCCCAGTCTGGATCAGGTAGAGACTAGGGCTCAGGGCTCTAGGCAAAATCAGGGTCATATTCAACGGTGCCAAAACCTTGCCAGCTGCTTTCATGGTAGTTCCAGCAGCAAATGGCCAAACTCTCACAAGATCAGCTGTTCTTACAAAGTGTCTAAACTCTCTGGACAAAATCTTGGTGTGAGATTTCAGCTATAGCTGAACTGGAATCCGAAAACAAATCGCTTCCACTTTGAGATGTGATCCAGAACCAAAACCCTAAGAATGGTTCAGCTCAAGAGATTCAAACCAAAATCCCTCCTGATCAAAAACATTTCAAGAGATTGGGAATTAGAGGTTCAGTGCATGTCCCTTCTCTAAATGTAACCAGATGGCCCTGTAAAGAAATTATCCCAATTGTTTGCTGTGTCTCCTTTAGCTCTAGAACAGCTGCTTACGGAACTTGAGGATTTTCTGAAGATACTGGATGAAGAGAACCTCAGCAGCACAGCTGTAGTGAAAAAATGCTTCGTTTCTGACCTCCTGCGAGTGTACACAAAGACAAGCAGTACGTATGGAGTCAGAACGTGGGCGGTGGGAGAGATGAGTTACATGGTTTTTTTATAAATTGGGACTGGGGAGAGGGGATATGAGAAAGAGAGAGGGATTTGGTTTTTAAATTGTATATAAATTACTAGAACTATATACAAAAATAACCAGAGTTACACATTTTTTAAAGTAAAGAATTTCCAAGATTCCTGATCATTTCTGTTTTCCTTGTTAAAACTTAGTTTATTTAATCCACACCATAAGATACACAGGACGTGCCGTTTGGCTGAGTTCATATTGAAGCAGAAATTTTAACTCATGGAATTTCCTGGTTCTTCGGTGTTAAGTTGAAAAATTAAACATTGTATAATTGGTAGTTTTTTGCATTTAGTAGAGACTTAAGGGTACATACACACACATGTGCACACGTTTTGCTTCTCTCTGTGTGAAAACTTAGCAGCGTGAATGGGACTGTCTCACGAAGACATCTCTCCTTCCCTTTGTTTGCAGGTGGTGATGAGGAATACATTTACATGAACAAAGTGACCTCGGTTAAACAAAAGGATGGACAGGAGAAAGAAGGTAGAGGTATGGAATCTACGGCTACCGATTGCCTGGGATTTAACTTCCCAATGGAGAGAGAATAAAGGGGCATAGGATTTGATCCTGCTCCCATTGAAATCCGACATGATTCCCATGGCTTTCAGTGGGTGGAGAATTGAGCCAATGGAAGGGGTGGAATGACTACCATATTTTTACATATTCCATGCTTTTGGCTAACACAGTGAGGTTATTCCTGGAAGTAGCACTTTTGAGGGCAGTACTTTGGGATAAAAATGTCTCCTGCTAAGTATGCAGCTTCATGCAACCCTACTGAAATATTTAAAGAAGTCATCCCGTTTCGTATAGACCCAAAGCAAGTCAATCCATGTCTAAAAGCTTTTGTTTGATTACTATGTTCAGCATGCTGCTTTGCACCATACCACTGGTGGTTTCAAATAGTCTAAACTGGCTCAAGATGAATTATTTATGCACAGAATATACATAATATCTTGTATTTATGTAGCACCCCTCCCCGCACGTTCCCAGGAAGATCCTAGCACTGTATCCTTGCAAACTGTATAAATTGAGAACAATAACCCTGGGTGAAATGCTCGTGATTGTCTTCCAACAGTTTTTCTGACTAGATCCACCTGGTTTTGCATTCACAACATGGGAAGGAATTCTCCAAAAATTCAGAATTATTTTGTGCAAATTTCTCCCTTTTACAACATTTATGGAAACCAGGGCCGGCTCCAGGGTTTTTGCCGCCCCAAGTGGCCAAAAAAAAAAAAACAGAACCGGATCTTCGGCGGCAATTCGGCGGGAGGTCCTTCGCTCTAAGCGGGAGTGAGGGACTGTCCGCCGAATTGCCGCCGAATAGCTGGACGTGCCACCCCTCTCCAGAGTGGCCGCCCCAAGCACCTGCTTGGCAAGCTGGTGCATGGACCCGGCCCTGATGGAAACTCAAAAGGGCCACTTATCTTCAAAGCTTCATGCTTACAAATACAGATCAGCCTTTTAGCCACTTCCTGTCATTATTATTATTCATATTTATTACAGCTGAGAATGGAGCCCCATACAAACATAAGAGACAGTCCCTGCTCCAAATTGCTTACAGTCTAAATAGACAAGACAGAATGAGGGTAAGGGAAGGGGGACAACACACAAGCAAAGTGAACAATATGGTGGCCTGCGAAGGTCATGTTAGTGCCACGATTTTTATTGTGTTTAAATCTGCGTCATGCAGCCAAATTGTGAAGTAATGTCAAATGCTTCTGGAAATGAGACATTCTCTTTTTACTGTATGTAGGTACAGCCCCATCACAATGGGTCACAATCTTGGTCAGTGCCACTAGTTGCATAATTATCATATTAAACCATAGCCACAGAAGGCCTGCTTGTATCTACCATGACTTGAGCATGGAAATCAGCGGCAGTGGAAAGATTTATTGACATGGATTCTCTATCCAGTTCATAGAATATCAGGGTTGGAAGGGACCTCAGGAGGTCATCTAGTCCAGGGTCCAATGACGTGTACAAAATAGGGCTTGGCCAGGCAATGCAGTGAGCCATGGAGCCGCGTCAGGCCGTTAAAGCCTGCTGTCGTTGTTTTGATTTCAGCCTTTTCCCTGTCATGGGCTGTGAGCCCCCACTTGCAATCATTCCCTAAAGGATATGGCCCTGGCTCTTTCAACCATTTCCCCAGACCAAGTTAAACTTCTAAGTTGTATTTGGAAAAACTGAAGTCCGTGGCTTAGGTTCTATGTGAGTGTGGTCTAACTCCTAGTTATGGATGTGTAAAAGACCCCAGTTCTGTGACTGACTGGACGGGAAACCCTGCATCTGTTCAATGAATGGGTGCAGGTGCTGGAATCTGCCTATCCAGTCAGTTTCATTCATTCAAGCCCTGATTGTGCTAATGTGGACTCCTAAACCCATGCGAAGTCCCATTGAAATCAATGGAACTTTGCATGATAGGTGCTGGGTGCATGCTAGCAGATTGGGGCCTGGGCCCATTCACAGTTAGATTGCACTGAAAGCATTCCCTTTAGGAGCAATGCAAGAGAAGATGTTTTCTAGAGACAATCACATCAGCTCAGAGAAAATGGGGGAAAAAAAGCCTTTAAAAACAGGTGAGGGATGGCCAACAATTTTTCTAATTGATGAATCTACTTTTGATTGCACTAATAAGACAACGAACTGAGCAATACAGTCCTTCGTAGGTATCTTTTTATGGCATAGTAATTGAATTCACCCTGGTAAATGACCTAAGAGGATACAATCTACTTGAAAAATAAAGATTGTTCTTTGGTAATACCAGCAGGGAAAATACAGTACAAATGCAGACATAACAGCAGTTTTTTGGCTGGATACAGGAATTTGCTTGGTGAAATTCCCTGCTCTGCGTCATACAGGAGGTCAGACTAGATGATCCCAATGGTCCCATCTGGTCTTGGGATCTGAGAATGATTTGCCTTGTTTGCAGATAATGGAGAGCACAGTTGTATAAGAATGAAGAAATAGGACATTTTATTTCTGTTAAAACTGTGCATGTTTACACTATTTCCTTTTTGCCTGTTTTTTGTCTTTCTAAATGTCACCTGCCCAAATTCCAGGGCTAGGGGAATTTCAGATCCAGTGAAACCTGTACTAAGTGCCCTGTTATTAAGCAACTTCATGCCTTAAGAGAGAACCTGAAAATATCTCCTATTCTATTAGGGACAATTCTGCAATGTCTTTACTGGAAGCGAGTGTAAACAAACTGGTTTTGTAAGGGCTTGTCTACACTTATCGAGGGAACGATGCATCGGCGGTTGATTTAGCAGGCCTAGTGAAGACCCACCAAATTGACCGCAGATCGCTCTCCCGTCAACTCCTGTACTCCACCTGAACGAGAAACGCAAGGGGAGTCAATGGGAGAGCATCTCCCGTTGACATCGCGTAGTGTGGTCCCCATGGTAAGTAGATCTAAGTACGTCGACTTCAGCTATGTTATTCACGTAGCTGAAGTCGCGTAACTTAGATCGATCTCCCCCTGTAGTGTAGACAAGGCCTTAGACTCTTGAGTTGATGCTTATGGCTGGTTTAGAAAAAGAATTATTCCTCAAGCAGATCCCTCCTTATAAAGGGAGGAGAGAAGAGCAGGAAACTCTTTAAAGTCCAGCAGGGATCTCACCATACACATCTGATTTACCCTGAAAGTGCCCAAGTACTACAGCAATAGGCTATATATAAAACCCTGAGATCCCCAGACCCAAACTGTGCTGCATCCCATGGCCAGCTCCTCAGGTCTGTGGAGCTGTGCTGATGTACATCAGTTGAGGATCTGGAAAAACGTCTCCATCCTGCTCTTGATTTGCTGAGTAGATTTGGGGAGAGGTGCGGGGTGGGAGGGAGGAAATGAATAAGGAAAACAAACGATGTATTCCTGGCATGGTGATGCTCATTAGGATGATTCCTAGGCAGGAGGTGAAGCCAAACACTCGCTATGCTTAAGCAGATGCTGGCATCCCACAAGGAATGCAGAATTTTGAATGAGTGAGCACTGCACAAAATGTCACTTGTCCCTCTAATTGTCTGCAGTGTTTGGAGGGAGGCTGTGTTCTGTGCAGTAGTTACAGATTGGCAAGGTGCTTTTTTGCTAAAGCTGCACCTACACAGTGCGCTTCTTGAGAGAGGCTGGGTAGCTGTGAATGCGCTGGTCACCAGCAGGTATGTCGACACTGCAAATTACAGTCTGTGGTGATGAGCCACAGAGCCTGGGTCAATTGCCTTGGGCTCAGGGAGCGAAAAATCAGTGTAGACATTCAGGCTCCAGCGGGAGCTTGGGCTCTGAAACCCAGCGAGGGGGTGGGGGGGGGTGTCTTGGAGCCCAAGCTGCTGCTGCTACTTTTAGCCCCGCAAACCCTTGACCCAGGCTCTGAGACTCTGTGCCATGGATTTTTCTTTGCTCTCTAGATATGCCCACTAAATCTGAGTCTCCTCATCTCTCTCAGAACAGTTTCATGGCGCTACCCTTCGGGTGCGCCTCTCTAGGAAGTATCACCCTTGATGTCCCATCAAAAAAGCAAACAGGGTGTTCGGAAGCATTAAAAAGGGGTTAGAGAATAAGACGGAGAATATCTTATTGCCCTTATATAAATCCATGGTACGCCCACATCTTGAATACTGCATACAGATGTGGTCTCTTCATCTCAAAAAAGAGATACTGGCATTAGAAAAGGTTCAGAGAAGGGCAACGAAAATGATTAGGGGTTTGGAACGGGTCCCATATGAGGAGAGATTAAAGAGGCTAGGACTTTTCAGCTTGGAAAAGAAGAGACTAAGGGGGGATATGATAAAAGTATATAAAATCATGAGTGATGTGGAGAAAGTGAATAAGGAAAAGTTATTTACTTGTTCCCGTAATATAAGAACTAGGGGCCACCAAATGAAATTAATGGGCAGCAGGTTTAAAAGAAATAAAAGGAAGTTCTTCACACAGTGCACAGTCAACTTATGGAACTCCTTACCTGAGGAGGTTGTGAAGGCTAGGACTATAACAGCGTTTAAAAGAGAACTGGATAAATTCCTGGAGGTTAAGTCCATTAATGGCTATTAGCCAGGATGGGTAAGGAATGGTGGCCCTAGCCTCTGTTTGTCAGAGGGTGGAGATGGATGGCAGGAGAGAGATCACTTGATCATTACCTGTTAGGTTCACTCCCTCTGGGGCACCTGGCATTGGCCACTGTCAGTAGACAGGATACTGGGCTGGATGGACCTTTGGTTTGACCCAGTACGGCCGTTCTTATGTTCTTTCCAGGAGTGATGGTACTGAAAGTAGCACTCCTGATGCATCATAGACGAGGGAAGGCTTCCCGCACCAGCTAGTTAGCAGAGTATTTGCAGTGTAACCATGGAGTGCCTGGGCAGGGCCATCTCTTCATTTCTGCATGCTGCAGTAAAGCAGCCTTTTTCAAGGCTGATGATCAGGCAACTGCCCCTTAGGCCTCCCCTGGTTTAATTTTAATGTCAACCGTGCAAGGAACCGAGCAGCCTTGCCTGTCGTGGCTGTACCTAGCAAGCAGATGTATTTGGTTGGTATTCACTGACTGAGCTGTTTGGCACATGGCTGCCTCTGACCTTGTAGCTTAATGAAATTGTCCAGCGTTAACAAGGAGGGAAGCAGAGAAGTTTCACCACAGGCAGCAGACAGCCTGGGGGATTACGTCACTCTGTGTTTCAGATTGTACCGATGCTTCTGCCACCCTGCCAGAGGCTCATTATAGGCTGCAGATTCAGAGCTGTCATTGTGGCTTCCGAGACTGAGACTGAAATGGAGCAGTGCGGGTCCAATTTTTATTTATAAAACACAGAGAAATATGCAGCGAAGTTCATGCCAGAGTCTTCTGAACCCCATGGTAACCTGTGCTAGGAAAGGCACAGCACCCTGACTGTTCTAATTTATATTTTCCCTGTTCACATAGGGAGTGAGGCTGGGCTTTTAAAAGGAGCCTACAGGAGTTAGGCAATACATTCAAAGGGAGCTGGGCACCTAATTCCCTTGTCTATCTATGGCACTTATATGCCCCCCTTTAGTGTAGTATCTTTTAATGTATTTCTCTGCACAACACTCCAGTGAATTAGGATAGTGCTATTGTATCCATTTTACAGATGGGAAACTGAGGCCCAGAAAGACTAACTGACTTGTGCAGGGCCACACAGGAAGTCTGTGGCATGGCAGCAATTGCACCTGGGTCTCCCGAGTCCCAGATTAACACCTGAATCACTGAAATATCCTCCCTTCTTAGATCTGTTGGAAACTCCTCCCCCTACACAGAGTGCCAGGTTCTCAGCTGGTGTATACCGATGTAGCTCAATGCAGCTATGCTGAAAATGCCCACTGAGGATTTGGCCCTATATTTTTTCCTAACAATCTTTTCCTCGGCTATGAGGTCCTATATGAATGTATTAGTTACTAGTGTTACCGTTCTCATTTTATTAGTAGAGTAACTGGACTTTGCACCTCTGTGGCAATCTTTGTGCTTGAAGTGAGTGGTGTTATCCCCATTTTATGGATGCGGAAATGGAGGCACAGAATCGGAGATTAGCCCAACCACAGAGGGTGTCTGTGGTAGAGCTGGGAATAGAATGTACTCTCAGAGATCCCCTAACTTGCAGTCCCCTGCTTTATTCACTATGTCACACTATCTCCCAAAAGCCTTTGATGTTCCTAAGGCCTAATCAAGATGGCCAGCCTTTAGCTCCGACTCATTTTACAGAGGTGACAAAATTCAATAGAAACCGTTTTTCGTAGAAAATAAATCTGTTCCTTATGTTCTAATTGTGACGCAATAGATCGATGACGTATGTATTACCTAAAGGGAAAGACCTTTTGAAACTTTCTTCTTCGAAGACTTTCGTCCAGGACCTCCACTGAAGCCAGTGTGGCTACGTGATTTCCACCCATTGAGAACCTGGCCCTTTGTTTTTAAGGTTGTTAGTGAGTGGAACTGGGAGAGAGAAAGTGATTTTTTTTGCCTGCAAGTGAAACCACGTACAGCAGAGTAATAACAGAGTGAACGTTTTAGAACAGCTTAATATAGACATCATCATTACAAGTGAAGTGATTTTTATTTTAAAAGACATTTTGGTCTTCATAGTTTTCGTTCCAAGAGGGAAAACATTCCAAAACAAGAAGAGCTTCTACCAAGAGAACTGGTTCTTTAGCTGTGGTGCCATAGCGCTGTATTCTTGGCTACGGTCTGAAATGACATGGTCACGACGAAGCATCAAAGGCAGACTCTGTAATTAACACCCTGCTTCCTACTCAAATATAACGTAGCACGCGGATGTTGCTGCACCACTGCTAGGTAATAAGTGCGTTGCTGGGACCTGCCACATGTCATTATTCCTGCTTGTTTCTGTTTGTAGCACTGGATTGCGGAGAGTCTTTGTCCAATGGGGAATCAGGACACCATTCATCTCCTCCTCAGAAGAGTCTGCCGGACCTTCCTCCTCCAAAAATAGTATGTGTTTGATTCCTGGTCGCTCTTTCTTCTCCTTTCACGGTCTTAATATTTAATCGAATCTACCTCTAATGATAGAAATTCTTGATGGCACATACTGGCTCTAAGCACTGACAATTTTTTAAATTATGCAACATATAATGTATGTAATTCACAAAACTCTCTCTGTTTAGCAATAGGATGCTATTGAGGCAAACAGCTTAGTCCTGGTAAGTTTCAAAACAGGTTTAGGTAACTCAGGGAGAGATTTTCAAAGACATGAGTACAAGCTAGGCACCTAGCAGCCAGTTGTCTTTGAAAATCTCCTTCTTGATGTGTGGCAGCAGCAGCAATGCTTAGACTGCCTGGGAGAAACTGACAAAGGCCAACAATCCTCAAACTTCAGGGTATTCGGGTAATCACCATGGGGTGTCAGGACAATATTCTCTCTCAGTTGTGTAACACTGCACTACTTGATCACTGCTGTGGAAGACAAGGGGATTTGCTAGCATCTGGCATTGTCCCCTTTCTGAGACAGGCCAGACTCTAGACCATTGTTCCCTTCTCATATGGCAGTTTCTTACGAAACCTGCATCCAAGTGGATGTGTGAGAAAGGGGAAGAAGCTGTGAGTATCAGGACCTGCTCCCTAGGCAAAAGCAGAAAGGAAGCTTGATTAATGTTGCTGTTCTCCTTGCTACACTGTAGGTTTTAATCCTTTAATCCTAATTTAATCCTAATTCAGGGGGAGTCAAATCAGTCAGTGTCTCGCCACAGAATTCAAATGAGTTTGTTATGTGTAAGACTTGGAAGAAAGCTTGCAAACTCTCCTATGATGAAGGGCTCATATGCCCGACCATTTTAACACCTCTGGTGGCCAGGAAGGAGTGGAGTTTAAGGCACGTCTCTTCCTCTTTCTTTGGGCATAGAGTGCAGCTGCTACCTAAGACTGTAGCAGCCCCTGCATCTGCGCTGCAGAATGCGGGGTGGGGTGGGGAACATTATTGTGCAAGTTGCATCCTGAGTACAGATTTCTCCCCATGCATACTTTTTGGTGCTTGAAGGTTTGCTGCGTCGTCTGTGTCTTGAGAGACCAATTATACATGATTCAGGTTTCCCTGAGACTTTGTACAAAAGCAATCTACAACCAAAGTTCCTTTGGACTTTTCCATGGGCCAGTTATAAATGTAATTAGGTTACAGTTCGTCACAATCAGCTTCAGTGGGATTCTGTTTCCTTGCCAAAAGAGCAGCCCTAGCTATCCTCCAGAGACACTGACAAGCGGGGCTTACTGTGTAGCAGCCGATCAAACATGGGAATCTCAGCAGTAAGGATTTTCTGATGTAAAAGGACAGCCGACTTGAAAGAGGGGTTAGTGGGTGGGTGGATGTCGGGATGTGTGTGGTGACAGAGAGAGGGGGTAGAGTTTGCTAGGGGCTCACTGGAGAAACTGTTCCTTTAAAAGGAAGGAGAAGTCAGAGGGTCAGAGAAGGGATTACCATAAAGGGTCTTATGGGATCTCTGCTGTAAGGGAGTTTAAGGGAGGGATGTCACTTCGGGGTGCTGGGAAAATGAAGCCCGAAAAGGAGAAAAGTAGGGCTGGATTAATACAGAAGCCTTTTAGATGCACTGCAGTTGTCCTAATGGATGCGTTCCAGAGCCTGCGGAGTTTTTCCAGCTAACCCATCTGGCTTAATTGTTAACGCTGCCCATGCTCTCCATGCTGAGAAGGGAAGGCAGCCCTTGCCTGTGACTGGGAGCAGTGATCTGTGTGTAACTGGTTCTGATCGCAAGGGGCGCTGTTCCTGGTGGAGGTGGTGGCGGCATTAGCAGTAGCGAGATGGGTAAATAAGATCACAGGCTGGGGTAGCAAAAGAGTCCCGTGCCAAAAGGAAAGCCTGCCTGAGGATCAGCAAGCAGACGCAGCTCTTATCATGCAGCTTGTGCTGTGCGACATGGCCGGAGGATCTACAGCTGCACAGGCTGAGACACACACACTGGCTCCGACTGTGGGAAACTTCGAGGCAGCTTCTCCTGGTTGTTCAGTGGAACAAATACAGGAATGCACCTCTAGCTCAGCACAGTGTAGGCATGGGAAAAACCGCTGCCCTCCTCCTGCCCCCACTGTTGCCTCCAACAAATCAGTGGCTCCTTCTTGATACCCCTCTTTAATTCCTGTCCCATTAAATGAAGATTGCCCAGTTATTGATCAAAAATGCAAGTCTCTCATGCCCTTGTAATGACTCTCACATCCAGTCAATTGAGTTTGAACCTAGGACCTTCAGTACTGAAGCCCCAGCACATACAACTTGAGCTAAAGGAGCAACTCTATTAGATGGTAGCAATAGTAGGATGTTATCCTCTATGTGAACCAGCCACTAGCGAGGAATATGGCACACACTTTATATGTGTGTTACACTCTCTCTCCATATGTCTTCCTTTTCCTGGTATACATGTAATGGGATTGACTGTCTGTGCTCAAGGGAGACATCCTGGGCTGGTTGGACAGAGGTCAAGATGATGGTGCTTTGGCAGAGCCAGGCAGGATATGCTGGCACTGCCCCTGCCTGCTCTGCTCGTCATTTGGCTTCACATTGATTTTTGAGGGCAAGCAATTCGATTGCATATTTAAAGAGGGATGAAGCAAGTGAGTGAATAAGACTAAGGGTATGTCTACACTACCCGCCGGATCGGCGGGCAGCGATCGATCCAGCAGGGATCGATTTATCTCGTCTAGTCTAGACACGATAAATCGACCCCGAGCGCTCTCCTGTCGACTCCTGTACTCCAGCTCGGCGAGAGGCGCAGGCGGAGTCAACGGGGGAGCGGCAGGAGTCGACTCAGAGTAGATCTAAGATACGTCGACTTCAGCTACGTTATTCACGTAGCTGAAGTTGCGTAACTTAGATTGTCCCCTCTCCCCCCAAAGTGTAGACGAGGAACGTGCACGTGGGGGCAGGGAGGGAAACAGCCCTTCCACCTAGGACAACAGGAGAGTCTGTTTCTGCCTTTGACAGGCCTAGAGACAGATTCAAGGGTTGCCAGCACATCTGCTTGTACATCTGCCATGGGTCCAGGTGCTGGAAATGACTGCTGCTCTGGCTGGAAACGGAGCTTCTTCCCCCGCTGGGCATCTGGCTAACTCCGAACTTGAAAAACCAAATCCCACAAAAAAGCAGTCTTGAGAATGAAAAATCTCTATCTAACTGTTGTGATGGGAGAGAGACCTGTAGGGCTGGTTACGGTCTTAAAAGACACCAGAGTTTGTTCCCAATGTTCCGAAAGCAGACCCCAAACAGGAGCAGGATTAATCCTGCAATGAATTTAGGAAGACCTGGTTTACACAAGAGAGATTTGGGGATCAGATTTTCAAAAAAGCTCAGCTCCAATTTAGGCACCTAAATAAAGGGTAGAATTTCCAGAGAGCTCATCTCCCATTGTGAGATTAATGGCTAAAACAGTGTTTCTCAAACTGGGGTCGCTGCTTGTGTAGAGAAAGCCCCTGGCGGGCTGGGCCGGTTTGTTTACCTGCCCCGTCTGCAGGTCCGGTTGATCGCGGCTCCCATTGGTCACTGTTCATTGCTCCAGGCCAATGGGAGCTGCTGGAAGTGGTGCGGGCCGAGGGACATACTGGCCGCCGCTTCCAGCAGCTCCCATTGGCCCGGAGCAGCGATCCGCGGCCAGTGAGAGCCGCGATTGGCTGGACCTGCGGACGGGGCAGGTAAACAAACTGGCCCGGCCCACCAGGGGCTTTCCCTACACAAGCAGCGACCCCAGTTTGAGAAACACTGGGCTAAAATTTCCAAAGACTTCAGTGGCTGATGTGTTGAGCTCTTTTAATGTTCTGGCCTGATTGCAGGTGCTGGTCAGGAATTTTTTGGCTTTTTTTTTTTCCCCACTGAAAAATGCCAATTTGTTTAAACCAAAACTGTTCGCAGCACAGGGTCATTTTCAATACATTTCCTGAATTGAAAAAACGTTGAAAAAGGCTTTTGAAATGGTCCAAATGTCCCAAAATGTCAAAACGAAAAGTTGACATTTTTCAGTTCAAAACAACTTATTTCAAAATTTAACTTCATACAGAAAATTAAAAAAGAAAACAGGTCAAAATCAAAATTTAAAGATTTTGAAATGATCTAATCCAAATTTCCCATTGTCCTGAACTCCCCTTCTCCCCCGCCTGGACTTTGTTACTGATTTTTTTCAAAAATTTGACTCTCTTTTTTTTTTTTTGTCCTGATTTGGGACAGAACTTTTTTGTTTTTGTTTTTTTAAATCTCAAAGATTCTCCTGCCCAAGGCTAGTGCTGACCTGTTTTGAACATCTGGCTGTAAATGTATAATTATCATACTTCTGCATGCCTGAAACACACCCCACATCCACACAACAGTGCTCCTAACACGGTGCATGCATGTCAACCGCCATTTGGATTATGCTTGCTCTGAGCAAAGCAGCTGATCTCGAAGGGTATGTCTACACCACACTTCGACACCCCCAGCTGGCCTATGCCTGCTGACTTGGGCTCATGGGGCTTGGGCTAAGGGCTTGTTTAATTACCATGGCCTGAGCCCGAACATCTACACTGCAATTAAACAGCCCTGAGCCCGTCAGGTGCAGGAAGGCGGCAAGGGATAGCATTTAAGTAGCCCCAGTTAGGCTTTGAAGTTCACTGAAGTGGAGGGGGCAGGGAAGGGGCGATTGCTGCTGCCGCCGCTGTGTGGCTGAGGAGAATTTTCTGCGAGGCGAGGGTAAGAGAGTGGCAGCACGTTTGATGACACTGCTGTAGCTTTGGCAAGGGATCTGCTGTGGTTTTGACCCTGGGACGTTTTCCCTTGATGTTAAGGCAATGGGAGTGTGTGTTTTGTGTTTTAGGAACTTGCTGTGGGTATATCAATCAGCACCAGTTACTACAGTTGGGTGTGTGTGTGTGTGTGTGTGTTTGGGGGGGAGATGTAATTAAGTGGGCGTGGCTTCATTAGCCTCTGGTTAAAAACCCCCAAATTCTTAGATGACTGACCAGCATGCTCAGAAGTTATAGACTTTCCACTCTGGGCTAGTTGTGGCTTTTCCAGAAGCCCTAAGCAAAGGGCAGTAAGTGTTGTGCTGTCCCGGAAGCGAGTTCCCCCTTATTTCCAGCGGGGGAGTAATTGGCGCCAGGTATAAGCTTCTCCTCCCCCCTCTCCCCCCAATGCATCAGTTCAGCTATGTTGGCTGGGAAAGCTCGAGTCCGCTCACTCCCTCCTCAGTTGCACAGGTCCATTAGCGGGCTACCATCCGGCCCTCAATTAATATCCTGCCAATTTTCCTCTCACTTCCTCATAGACATGTTGGACAGCTGCAGTCTGCAAAAATAGGCTTTAGTTTTGCCTGTGTCCTGTCCCATCCTCTCCAGCGACAGCGTGGTGAACCCTGGAGTGCCCGGGGTGCTCAGCTGCTCTCAGTTTGGGGAAATTTTTCTCCTTTAGTCAATTGTACCAGTTTCCCTAACAGCGCTGTGTGCGCTCCGGAGTGCTGTACTGCGATTGAGGTTTAAAGAATGACGGTGATGAGTGAGGTGGAAGCTCAGAGGTTAGAACCCCAGGAGCTTGGCTTTTGTATTTATGTGTGGAGGGAGAATAGAGAGGGTGGTCGGGATTGCAAAAACCACATCAGCTCATCGCTTTGAACTTTGATTCAGAAAAGGGCAATGACCGGAGAGCGATGCTCTTAGGGAGGCTGAGTTTAATGAACAGAGACCGCAGAAACTGAAAGCTACAAAGGAACCTCCCTGGTCTCTAAAACCAAGTGTGGGAAGTTGCTTGTACAACGATGAGGTGATGTCGGGGTGTTCGTTATCCTGTGTGTTGGGAATAGCGGTTCATTATCTGGCACTTACAACGTTTCTTTTCTAGGTTCCTTTTTCAGTGCTAGAGCCCAGCATAAGTGGGTCTGATCCAAAGCCCACTGATATCAATGGGAGGCGGTGACCTGACTATGTGTATGCACAATGCCTAGCACAAGGGGGCCCTTGTTTTGAGTGAGGCCTCTAGGTGCAATCACAATATAAACCTCAAATAATGACACTGACGTCTATGGGCTTTGGATCATACTTAGTTCCTTCTCTGTCCCTGTTCTCCACCCATGCCTTAGCACTAACTAGCAGTTCTGTGCTCTGCTCTGCTTTTCACCACATGCTGCCAGTTGCCCCTGTGAAAACTCACTAGTGTCTTATCGTACCATTCCCACTTCTTAGCGTAGAAACTGCAGTGCTCTGGGCCGTCCCTGTACGATAGCGTCAGACGTTTGTTAGGGTTTGCCTGCTTTATTGTGCCATTGTGAAATGGACAAGTGTGCTGAAATGACCAGACTGGGTTGGCTAACACAGTACAGTATATTTTTGATCTAAGCTAGAGACAAAAGAAGCCCACGCCTTTGGTAAAGAGAAAAAAATAACCTCTAAAGAAGCTGAAGCCTAGTCCCACATAGTCCCCTTTGGTTTCCATTGTTTGTATGAAACAAAGTAACCGTCCCCTCCCCTCCCCTGAGACTGTGTTGGACAGCATAGGAAGCAGTCACAGTGCGGGTTTTTATGTAGACTGCGATGTCTTCCCGATCTGATTATCACTTTAAATTCTCTGCCACATACAATGGTAGCTGGCTGCAAGCGCCAGTCTGCCACAGCTTCAATGATAGCACTAGTCCCTGGCTGAGGAAGTGCACCCAGTAAAACTATTGAGTGTTTATTTTTCTAATTGAATGCTTTAGCTGAAGTTCTTAAGCATTTAAATATTGTAGGAAAACGTTGGTAAAACATTCCCCGTATGGCCTCAAACACTGAATGGAAAGTATACTAATAATGCCTAGCAGTTCTATATGGAGAGGGCCTCTCCTTAAAGCACTTTGCAAAGGTAAGTAAGAACTACCCCTATTTTGCGGAGGTAGAGACCAAGAAGGGTCAGGGACTTGCCCGTGGTTACACCATGGATCTGCTCATAGCTAGCTAGCCAAAGCCAGAGGCCCTGAGTCTCAGGTCACTGCCCTGAGCACTAACCCAGACTGTATCCCTGTATACTGGCTAGACTGGGAATACTACAGTGTTAATATTCTACTTCAAAGCCTGGTAGGCCAACAGTCCAGGTTAGTGGGTTAATGTAAGAACACAATAATTCCTCTCTTGGCTGAATGGTGCTACAGATATAAGAACATAACGTACGAACGGCCATACTGGGTCGGACCATTCGTCCATCTCACCTAGTATCCTGTCTTCCGACTATGGCCTAGGCCTCAAGAGACATTGGCCAATTTATACATTGTGCTGAAGGGATCCCAATGTGCTTTGAGACAATGGGCCATGTTCTCAGCTGCCTGAGAGCAGCTCTGCGAGGCATGGCTCTCCTGTGTCAAAATTCATATTGAACAATTTCGGCTCTTTAGGCAAAAGAGCTAACATCAATCTGCCCCTTAGTAAGGACAGAAGTGCCAGCCAGCCATTAGCCAGAGGCTGCTGATTAACTTAGAGTTGCCAGAGACTTTGACTTGACCCTTGCTCTTTAATACTAAACATTAAAAATTCAAATCAAAGAATTCAAAAATAAAATAATCAAAAAAACTAGGCCCCCAAAGCCGAAGAAGTATAATCAAACAGGCAAATAATTGAAATGTATAAACAACGATTATCCATGGTGGCATTGGGGTAAAATGCAAAGGCAGATCAGCACTGGCCTGCTATAGCTTTACCCAGTGTGCTAGGTGCAGAGAGGTCTGAGGTATGCCTCCTTGTGCCCAAGCCCCGGGCACCCAGGAGGATATTCCTCCCAGCAGAGGGCAGGCAGTGCCTCTGCCGCTGCTCTCCTTGAGGTTGATGCCAGGGGAGGGAGTGCAGTTGTAATTTGCACTAGTGCTCCATAGGAGCTCTGCTGGCAGAGACTGTGAGGTGTGTGTGTGGGGGTGGGGGGTGCACTGAATCAACGCACTCCCCCCTTGGCCCTGCCCACATTGTGATGGTGCCGGCCCATTATCTTCTCCTCTCCCCTGACAAACAATTGTGTTGGCAGCCAGGAGTGAATGCATGATTCCTGGCCCTGTGCTGTACGGATCTTCAACAGGATAGTAAGGAGCGGGGGACGTGTCCCCCTCATTGCCTGCCAGTGGCTGCATCTCTACTCCGGACAAGTGAGGTTTCAGCCCCTATGTATAGGGCTATTGCAGGCTGGTCCCTGATGGAACTCCCAGCATCCTCCCCAGAGCTGATGTTTTATGCTGGTACCAACTAGAATCTAGCTCATACACTTGCAATCCAGAACACATCATAACCCGGGTACTAAGAGAATCACTCCCGCTAGCTAAAATAACTCCCCTTCAGCTGTTTTTAACTGAGTTACATGAACACAGCAGATACGGATTGTGTTCTATTATGCGTGGCATGTGAGAGGAAATGTTTGGTGCTGGACAAATTGAGGAGCAGGGCTAAGCTACAGGATGGTCTAGACAGTATTTGGTCCTGCCATGCGGGCAGGGGACTGGACTCGATGACCTCTCGAGGTCCCTTCCAGTCCTAGAATCTATGAATCTATGGTAGCATCATGCCCCCCGCCCCAAACTCCCCTCGTGTGGGCTGTAATTCCACCCACTACCCTGTTCTGTGCAGGTTTTTATGCTGCAATCCTCACCGCAGGATCTGAGCGCCTCCTGCTACTGCATTCAAGTTTGCAGCTCAGTGAAGTCAAGTGCAGTCATATGAATGGCTTAAGAAGTAAATGGGTTTGGTTTTTACCCACCTTCTTGCTCGTGTGGTGGTCTTTCCATGGGATTAAGGAACTGTTTTCTCTGCCAGCTTGTGTTTTGGGGAGGGATTTGGCAGATGAAACAGGGTTTTTCCAGCACTTGGACTCTTTTCAAAGGCTCCTTTCACTTTAGTTTTGTTTATCCACTTCCTTCATTTTTGCTCATATTGACTTTAAAGATGCCTGATGTGTTTCCTAACTTGGGACTTTGTGCCGTGTGACCCCCGGGCTATGAACATTCAGTTAGGGAATTTGAGACAGGGTAATAGACTTCAAATGCCTGTTTGGGCTAACGGTAGGTAATAGTTCTACCTCTCCTCCCAACTGTCCTCCACTCAGGTACCCCATAACTATTCTCCTTAGTGTTCAACTTCATCCCCAATTGAAATGGATAGCTTATATGCAGCCATCTGGACCTGATGGAAGGAGTCCATTCAACCAAAGGGCAAACTCCCATTTACTGGTACAGCAGGATCAGATCCATGGTTAGAATGAACAAGCTAACTGCAGTTTTTCTGGGGTCTGTCCTATAGCCCCAAAATTGAGGCTTTCAGGAAAATTGAAGCGTTGACTATTTAAAGCACCGCAACATTGTGACATTGTATAAGAACTGCCAAGTGCAGCATCACAATACTCCTTTAAACCTAATTCAGTGAGCTGTATATCGAAAGCCAGTTCAATATTAGCACTTACCGATGTGTCTTTCCTTGAATCTGAACCCATTTACTTAGAGGTCATGAATTGCACATCTAAAAATATCCCTCCGTGGGGCCACACTTTAGCATTACCAAAAAGGGTTGTTCAAAGTTTTGGAGTGCTCTTTACCACAAAATATGCTTGTTTTATTCATTCATTTCACAGATTGCAGAAACGAAACTGCCTTCGATCCCCAAGATTGAGTCTCCAGAGGCATATTATGAAGAGGCTGAGCCATATGATATCTCTGTGAATGGTACGTCAGAGCCGGTTCTCGGCTTTTCATGGCTATCATTAACTAGAGTGAGATGCAGAACTCAATGTTTGTGGAAACAATCAAACAGAACTACTTTCATACAATTCTTTTTTGATTCCTGTGGATTTGCTGGTCATAAGAAGGATACATTTTTATACCTAGTTTTACATTTATTTTTACATAGTTTATAAAGGATTAATAAATGACTAGTAGATGTTATACCCCTGCTATAGACAAGAGCAGTATGTATTATAGATGGCTATAAAATATTATACGTGTTGGTGGATTCTCCATTTCCTGAAGTCTTCAGATCAAGAGTGGATGTCTTTCTGGAAGAGATGCTTTAGCCGGACTCAATACAGGGGTAACTGCGTGAGATTCAATGGTCTCTGATATACAGGAGATCAGACTAGAAGATGTAATGGCGCCTTCTGGCCTTAAAATCTATGAACCCCATGGGTATATTGGACTTTATATCAATCTTGAAGCATTTATTAAAACAGCTCTTCAAAATGTATTAACCATTTTAAACTATGTATAAATGTACCCTTTATGTAAAGCGTGACAGTTTATAAACTGCAGTGATCTAGATCACTAGACCGTCCCCTCTTTCAGTCTCGGGTACCAGAGTCAGGGAATTCAGAGAAGGATAACAAGTAAGGCTGATGATTTGGATCAGAATTCATTACCATTGTGTGAGCAGTACTAGACCCAACTGTGCAACCCTGAGCTTTAAAATTTGTGACGAAGAAACAAAGTGGGGGACGTTGCTTGAAATTATGCGGGGTTAATTTATTTTGACAGTCCTTATCCCGAAGAGATGACTGTATCTTCCCAGGTGTTTGTACAGCGCCTAGCGCAATGGAGGCCCTGATCCTGATGGGGAGCCTTTGGGAGCTACAGCTCTCCTGTCGGCTTAATTACTCCACCTCCGTGAGAGGCAGTAGTTATGTTGGCGGGAGAAGCTCTCCCACTGACCCAGCACTGTCTACATGTGGGGTTGGGGTTGGTATAACTACGTCACTCAGGGGTGTGGATTTTTCACACCCCTGAGTGACGTAATTATATCGCAGTAAATGAGTAGAGTAGACCTGGCATTAGTTTGAGGCTAAGATGAATGATGAAATCAGGTGCAGTTAAGTGGAGTGAGTTGGAGTATTAGCTCCTAGTTATCACCACATCTGCATCAATCTCCTTCTATGTTTAAATCAGCGCTGCCTCGGCAGCATGGGATCTGATCCAGCTAGCTACAGGGGGATCGGATTAGCTTCCATTTTCTCCAAATCACCATAGTTTGGGGCAGTGCAGATAAAAGCCTTCAGGGTTGTCCCATCTCTGTAATGAGGAAGCCAGGTTTAGGTTTTCAAAACCTCACCCTGGACTGGTTGGCTTCTAGATGTCATTTTATCTAAATGGCTCCACTCCAGTTAGAATACTGTGGGCCAAATTCTGCTCCATTACTCCTGATCAGCACTTTGGGGGGTAGTTACCGGGCCCCGTGAGTGCAGAGAAAATCCTACCTCCAGCAGGATCGGTGGGTAAAGCACTTTTAGAAAGAAAAATAGGTGATTTTTTTTTCAGTGCTTGGGGTTGCAGCCTTGACAGAGACAGTGCAAGATACTGTTATGGGGTTCAGTGTGCAGTCCAGACCACTGAGGGAGGGGTTGTGTCACCACTTGCCCTGCAACCCTGGGTGTTTTACAATGCTTTGCTGCTGTGCTCACTGTGTTTTACAATGCTCACTGGGGTGCTCACAACCAGTCTACAAGCATGCAGGCCATATCCTGAAGAGCTAGACAGCCCTGGTTCAGCAGGTCTCACCCCAGCGGCCTGTCTATAGCCCACTCTGGCTTCCACCAGCCTTGGTTACAACCAGCAATTGACCTTTGTTTTCTTTGCCTGAGGACCGGACTGGTCAGAGAATCCAATACATGTTCCTTTGTCTAAGGCAGACCTGTTTACCAACTGCCCCAGACATACCTGGTTTAAACGCACTTTAGTCATAATTCCAACATATATCCATAACTCTGAATACACGCTGCACACATACATCATGCAAGACTATGAATGGTCAGTGAGTTATTAGTTTTCAAATGATACCTCTGTATCATTTGTATATTTTATACAAACATTTTTGCAATAGGATGGGAATACAGGGATGCTTATGGTCACACCTGCCCCTTTACAAAGCTGTAGGAGGGTTGGACCCTGGCTGACCAAGAGGCGGCGGGGCAGAGCCCTCTTTCCTGGACAGGGCATCTGCCACCATATTTGTTTTTCCCTTTATATAGAAGAAACCTGTTTTGCCAGGACATAATATCAGACAATATCCATCATTTCAGCTACTGGGTTTTTTACAAACACTTCACTGTGATGTTAATGACCAGCGTGGTGGTAGATTTAAAATGATATATTACATGTCACTTTTTAAATAAATATTCTGATACCAGTGCGTGAGCTGTGATGAGCGTGTCAGGCGTGATGAGTTGCTGACAAAGAGCAGTGAACCGCAAATGGGCCTCTGGGTCACGGACGCCCCACAGCGTCACGCTCCCCAGTGCTTGGAGTCGGAGGATTAGAATTCTGCTGACAAAAAATTCACCATCAGCTCCACCTCCCGCAAATAAAAAAACCTCCAGTTTTTGCCAGTTTCACGTCAGATTCTTTCCCTACCCAAGCAAAAAGGCAGCTGTAAACTTCATCCCACAGGATAAAGTTGGGAATTAGCAAGCAGGTAAAAAGAAAAGGGAGTCATACCTCTTGTTTCTTTTCCTGCTGTTTTAAATTGTGTGTAGCCCGTCAGCCCAAGGCTGCCTCTAACTTGCTTTGGGGCCTCATTCAGGCCACAAAGCATCATACATGCCGGGGTGTTTTCCAATTGCCTTTGCAGTGAGATAATAGTTACATTTTTTGCCATACACATAGGAAAATATAATTGTCCAATTATGCTGAGAACCACAGCATGTAGGGACATGCACCAAACTTATTCATATGTAGCCAGGTGTTCTATCTCATATATATGCCAATTAAACTGGGTTATGTTACTCAGACAGCTTTATAAAACCAACATTTTTGTGCATAGAAAACCTTGTGGGGGGGAATAAACAAGAATTCTACTGAACTCTCTCTTTTGCTTGGCAATGCAGGATATTTAATTCAGAATATGCACTGGCAGGGAATGCCTCTAATAACTGTGATGGCACCTTTGTCCTGAGAAGTTTCTAGTGAATGATTATGCAGGCACGAGGCATACAGCGAACAGGCTAAGATGGTTTGGGGTAGTGTCAGAAATATAAGATTTTGGTTACCAGGAGCACTGTCTATTGGCTGCTATTGTTCGTTTATCATTAGACGAATGAGAAATGTGCTCCGTGTTATACAGACCAATGAACGGCATAGATGTAGGGGACTGGGACTCACGACTCCTGAGATCTGTCCCCAGTGTGTTACTGACAGGGCCGGCTCCAGCATTTCTGCTGCCCCAAGCAAAAAAAAAAAAAAAAAACCGCACCCACCACCGGCCATCGGAAAAAAAAAAAAAAGTTGCGATCGGCGGCGGCAGCAGTTCAGCGGCAGGTCCTTCGCTCCTAGAGGGAGTGAGGGACCTGCCGCCCCCGAATTGCTGCAGGTGCCGCCCCTCTCCCTTGGCCGCCCCAAGCACCTGCTTGTTAAGCTGGTGCCTGGAGCCGGCCCTGGTTACTGACTAGCTATGCCCCTTTGGGCAATTCACTCAACTGTTCTGTGCCCCAGTTTCCTCCTCTGTCATAATGAATATAATCATACTGCCAAGTACCGTATATACTCGTTCATAAGCCGAATTTTTTTAGTAAAAAAGGGAAGCACCAGAGAAAGGGGTCGGCTTATGAATGGGTATATATAGAGAGAGGTGGGACACCGCCCCTCCCCCAACAGAGGGAGCAAGGAGAGGTAGCACAGGCAGCAGAGCCAGAAGGGAAGAGGCGGGGCCAGAGTCTCTCCGCTTCTGGCCACACTGCTCTCCCCCCAGTCTCTGAAGCAGCTGCAGCTGTGCCACTCATCCCCGCCCCCCAGAGCAGGCTGTGGCCGCGCCGCCCAGCCCGCCGGAGCACACTGTGGCTGTGCTGCCCGGCCCAGCCTGCTGGAACATGCTGCGGCTGCGCCGCCTGGTCTGGCCCGCCGAGCAGGTTGCGGCCATGCTGCCCAGAGACATCCTCCCCTGGCCCGCCCCAGCTAAGGTGGGAAGGGATGGGATGGGATGGGGAGAGTTTGGGGATCCCGGGCAAGGGGTGGAGTCATGTGGGGGGTGGTCACAGGGGTTACTTCCCTGACTCCCAGCTTCTCCACCCCCCCCCCCCAAATTTCCCCACCAGTTGCTGTCCCGGACCATCAGGGTAAGCAACTGGCGCGCCGGGACAATTTGTTTACTTAGGTTTACCTCCGTGCCTGCGGATGCGAGTTAAACAAACCATCTCGGCCCACCAGCGGCTTATCCTGATGGCCCGGGAGCCAAAGTTTGCTGACCCCTGAATTATAGGGTTAACTTATGAATGGGTCATAAACCATTTCCATTTTTACTTATCCATCTTGGGGGGGGTCAGCTTATAAACGAACCAGCTTATGATCGAGTATATACGGTACCTATCTTGGGAGAGTTGAGGCTCACCCCTGAAGAACAATGGGACATGTTCTGATCTCCTTTCTTATGTTGAGTAGCCCTTACTCCTCAGATGACTCCATTGACTGTGGGTCTGAAATCTGATAGGGGCTCCTTGTGGAATAAGGTGCTATTCAACATGAGTAAAGGTGATCTGTCCTTGAGAGATCCTTGGTTGGAGAGTGTAGTGCGTCATTGTTAGGTGTTAGTGTTCTCCTAGGCATCAGCTGCTCTTTGGATACTCTTCTAGTTCAGATGTTAGCTTTGTTTGTCTTTCCTGACTATTTTAAATGTGAGGGCTCTGGTGAGGCCAAATCTTTACCTACAAACTGGTCGCTGCATCCTTGGACAGTAAAATGCTAATGAACTTGGTGGTGTACACCACTGCCCTCTGCTGGATGGAATCAGAACTGTTCAACTGTGCTACAGGCCCTGTAGTGCAAACAGTTGGCGGAGATTCTCTGTTAGCTCAGTGCTAGGGGAAGGATCTGAATTCTGTTCCCTCTCCGGCCACCATGCATAGCACAGTGACAGTTGCGAAGTCCGAAGTGGAAACAGATTACAGTATGAGATGAGAACCCTATTTTCGCTGGTTGCTGACCTGGACTGTGTTTTAAGGCTTCTTTGTTAAATGAATCCCTTTTCTTCGTAGGCCCACCTCCTCTTGTCATTTATGCTGTGGGAGATCACGGGTAGCTAATGGAGTTACATCTGATATCCTATAATTTTAATGAAGCTGCACCTGTATAAAATGCTGTGAGGCCCATAAAGTGAACTGGGATGGGAATATGCAGATTCAGACAAATCCTGAATGTCAGAGTAGACAGTATTGTTACCCACATCTTAACTGCTGAACCACAGGGCTCCTCAGCTGGTATCTGCCCCAGACATAAATAAGGCACTTTGCAGGTGGTTATGCACAGACGCCTTTGCAGGGGGGTTAAATGGGAAGGAAAAAGCTTAAGAATTGGCCAAGAATCTCCATGGTCCTAGTGAAAGTCACTCTCTGACCAGTTCACAGTTCAGGCTGCCACTTTAGGGGAATGAAAATCTGGATGGGAGATCTGTAATGAGATTCTGACGTTAGGAAGAAATGTAATTAAGTGGCTGAAGAGGAGCTATAGTAGAAGGGAAAAGAGAGAGTTTGTTGTCTAATGGCTACAGCACGAGGCTTGAGTAAAGAGACCTGAGTTCAAACCCTAGCTCTGTCTTTAAATCTCCCTAGGCTTGGTCCTGCATCCTCTGGGGTTGGAGTTTTGCTGTTGACTTCAACGGGTGCAAGACTGGACCCTCTGTCCCCCAATTTCCCCATCTGTAAAGTGGGGATAATGTTACTTATCTCTCTCATATGGGGTGATGGAACGTGCTTTGAGATCCTGGGGCAAAGATGCTATAGAAGGGCATCCTTTCCTAGCGGAGTGGTGAAGATGCAGGTGGCTGGGGAGCCGCTGTTCGTCTCTTGTTACTGAGTTTTTGAATTTATGTCTTGCATCTCCAAGCAAATGGATGTAGTAAAATAAAACAAGAATAGCAGCACTAATAAAATTAGCAAATATGTTGCCAAGAAGAGACATCAAAGCAAATCCTCCAGATGGGCTGAGGAGATAAGCAAGTCATGTGGCATCAGAGGTGGGACTGAAAGACAGTGTAACAAATGGTGGAGGACTAAATTAGAATGAACCTAATAAAGACAGGCTTGTTAGGTCTTGTGGCCGTTCCTTCATCTGCAGTATTTTTGCACATAATCTAAGAACGCCATTGCCCTTCGTTACATTTGCATTAATTACTAGGATCCCCTTTTGCTTCGAGTCAGTGCTGAGATAGATTCCATCCTTATCAGTCTACCCCTGCGCTGCATTTGCATAATTGAGTGGCACGATACGAAACAGAATGGGAATGTGAGTGACAATGTGGCTGCCTAATTAATAATAATTCAGACTGAAATATTTCATCTGCACCAGTTGATTTTAATGTTGATGGTTATTTTAAAAGGGATTGCCTAGTTTAAGGGGAACCAATGTAAAATGTGGGGGCTCTCTCTCTCTCTCTCTCTCTCTCTTTGCTTGTGACTATGCAGGTATTCTTGGTAGGCTTGCTGCTACTGGAGCCAGGACAGGGTTGCAGGTTACCGAGGGAGTAATTTATGCCACAATAACCATGGGTACGGCATGTTTTCAAAGCCTGAACTTCTGGCATTGTCTTTCTATTTATTGTCATTGTAGCAGAGAGGATCACCTGCCCAAACTATCCATTTTGTTACTACCGGCATTCCTCCCTTACAAGCATGGATGGATCACCACCACCATTTGGCACATTGTCATCCTGGATGGATACATTTCCATTCAGGAGGGCGGGGGTAGGGTGGGGGAGATGTTCAGAAGTTCGCAATCACTTTTTGCCAATCAATGGTTCATCCCATATAGAAGGAGTTTTTATCAGAGTACATCTGAATGGCACTGCTTTGTATAGATGAAGATGTTGCAACCAGTGAAGGGGCTGATCATTAGCTGGTGTAAATAGGCATAGTTCTCTGGAAGTGGAGCCATGCCAATTTACAATAGCTGAGGATCTGTTCCAAAGTCTTCTAGGAGGTAAGCTGTAGAGTGGCCTGTATGCGGGAAATAATACAGTCATCGGCTTTTGAAAGCTGAACTACCTGATCGGTTAATGGTGGGCCATTAACACGATACCCATGGGCATTCAGTGAATTTTGAAGTGGATGGTCTCCTTTTGAGACATTAGCTTAATTAGTGTTGCTTTGCACTAATCACCTGTTGGAGCTATCATATAACACTTAATTGGGAGACATTTTGAGAGCAATATTGTAACATTGCTGTGGCTTCTGAAAGTTACTTTTATTTTAAAAATGAATACACTTACCTTACTGGATAATGCTTCAAGGAATCACAGTAAAGTGTTTTAACTATTTTCTCTGTTTTCCTTTCAAAAATGTCTACAATGTTAAGGTAACACTGCACTTGAGTGGACATTTGACTAAGTCTTGATCAGAGCAGCATAATGAGATCAGTATCTTAATTCTGTTCAGTAGGGATGAACATGCACAAATTAAACACGAGGTGCACAAATCTTGGGGTATGCCTCTGATAGATCTATGTGAACCCCACTAATAATAATGGGTGGCTGGCAGATTACATCTGTATCATGAACACCTAGGTCTTGTTGCAAATCTCATGGAAGTTGCTGGGGAGTCTCTCTATTGACTTCAGTGGACTTTGCACCAATGACCAGCCATCTTCACCTTCTGAAAACCTTCATGACCTATGTACATCAGAGCTGGGTAGCACTATACATCGTGGGTGTAATTTTCAAACGTGGTCAGCATTGGCCTCTGCTCTCATTTGAATGGTAACATTCCCCTTGACTTCAGTGGGAACAGAGTTAAGACAACGCTGAGCGTTCTTGAAATCCCATTCCTTATTAAGAATGTAATGGACAGTTTCATACTGTTCTTGACTGAGCATAAAAACAATCACTATTATTTAAGGCTGTAGTTTATTACTAATTCTTACTGCGACCACTCAACATCGCTTCACTGGTGCCAACGCTCAGATGTATGTCTTGCCATACATTCCAGGTTGAGTCGATATAGCCGTTGGCCCAGAAAGGGAACCATAGAATAACATACAATGAATCATTGCTTGTTGCATGGCCTTGCAGAGTTCGTTTTTACATACAGGAGGCAGGGGCTGACTTGGAAGGAACTGGACATAGCTTGCAATCATGTTGCAGGTTTGGAAATTTTGGCTTCTAGTTGGGTATATAAAATATATAATTGGAAAAATACAACCAACATCTGCTAGCGCATCTGAGGAAAGCTCTTAAATTGTAGACTCCTTTGAGTATTTGCAAAGAGAGAATCTCAGGTGCAAAACATCAAAGCAACAGTTTGGGCTAGAAGGGAAAAACGGATGCTGGGAGATCAAATTCACTAAGAAAATGGCCTTAGGAAATCTTCAACAGAGAAAAGCCCTGGGGCAGAGCCTCTGAGCTGCTTGTGACTGTGGCATGCTCTGAGGACGCTCTCACTTGCCTGATGTGAGCATGTATGAAACAAACTGGAATTACCACCCAGAAATACACTTGGTGACCAGCTTTGCCTTGTTTACAGAAGACGGAGAAGCAGTCAGCAGCTCATACGAATCCTATGATGAAGAAGAGAGCAGCAAAGGGAAGTCAGCAACCCACCAATGGCCATCCACTGAAGCCACCATTGAGCTGATGAAAGATGCCCGTATCTGTGCTTTTCTCTGGAGGAAGAAATGGCTGGGACAGTGGGCCAAACAGCTGTGTGTCATTAAGGACACTAGGTTGCTGGTATGCAAACATTTGCATTTCCTCCCTCACCCCCCCAAATAACCTATTTTCTCAGACTGGGAGTGGGAAGTGGCTTCTCAATTCCCATATGGCAAAGAGTCTTATTTTAATTCAGATGCTTTAAGAAATATCCACTTAGCCTCCACGTGGAATTCCCCAAAGATTTCCACTCAGTAACATAACCAATAGAATACAGGCAGGTGATACCACAAGCCAAAGAGCAGGTAAAGCAGTATTGCTGTTAGTTGTTCTAGAAAACGATGTGGGGTAAAATGTTCATCGATTCCAAAGCCAAGAGACCACAATGATCATCTAGTCTGACCCGATGTAGAACACAGGCCATAGAACTTCCCCAAAATAATTCCCAGAGCAGAGCTTTTAGGAAAACACCCAGTCTTGTTCTAAAAATTGCCAGTGATGGAGAATCCACCATGACCCTTGATAAATTGTTCCAATGGTTAATTACCATCACTGTTAAAAATTTACACCTTCTTTCCAGTCTGAATGTGTCTAGCTTTAACTTTCAGCCCTTGGCTCATGTTATACTTCTGGAGGCTAGGTGGAAGAGCCCATTATCAAATATCTGTTCCCCATTTTATCAAAAGTGCCTAAATCCCATTTTCAAAAGCAAATTAGGCACTTAGAAGCTTAGATCACATGGAAAACCAATGGCATTTAGGGACAGATTTACAAAGGCATTTAAGTGCCTAAAGAAGCAGATAGGTGCCCAGTGGGATTTTCAGAAGTGGATAAGCAGGTAGGTGCCTAGTGGGATTTTCAGAAGTGCATAAGCAGGTAGGTGACCAAGTCCTATTTAAACTCAGTCGGAGTTAGGCACCCAACTTGCTGAAGAATTTTAAAAATCCCACTAGGTGCATCTGTAGGCCCCTAAACACTTTTAAAAATCTGCCCCCCTAGGTGCCTAAGTCTCTTTTGAAAATGGGACTTAGGTGCTGAAGGCATGTCAGCACTCTAGAAAATTTTACACATGGCCTAGTGGTTTGTAAGCAAGTCAGGGACTCCTTTGTTCTAATCCTGACTCCTCTGACAGCAACCTCCCATGGCTGTTCTTTTACTCATAACATGTTGGTTAGACCCTGTAAAATCTCTTGAGATATAGTTTGTATGAAAGATGATGCGGGGTGTGTGTGTGTGTGTGTGTGTGTGTGTGTCTGTAAAACATCTGGATGCTGCAGCTGTAACTGAGTTGGATCTTCTTTGTGTTCTCTGCAGCTATTGCAGATGTGCACGGTGCTCCACTTGTGCTGATGTTAGGAAGTGGGTTATGTTGAGTTTACATGCTTTTAATCTCTTACTTTACTTCTCTCCTTTTGCTCTCAGTGCTACAAGAGCTCCAAGGACCACACCCCTCAGCTTGATGTGAACTTGCTGGGCTGCAGTGTCATACACAAGGAAAAGCAAGTGAGGAAGAAAGAACACAAGCTGAAGATCATTCCGATGACTGCAGATGTGATTGTGCTGGGCTTGCAGAGCAAGGACCAGGCAGAGCAGTGGCTCAGAGTGAGTGGAGCTGTGTCACTTTGCCCACCATGGTGCGATCATGTAACAAAAGACACGGGCTCTTGGGTTACAATGTCAGATTAGCTGTACCAGTGGAAAAGGGGGGCTGTTCATTCCGCTGTGCCCCTGTGGTAACTCCCTCTGGGCTCGCACTCCTGTACCCAGGGCTGGATTAACTTGGAGGCAAATTAGGCACATGGCTAGGGCCCAAATTGGTGTTGAGAGGCCAAAATCATAGGCCAGGATCCTTCGCCGCCTCCCCTTTGCCCAGCTGAAGGGGCACAGACCACCCACAGCAACGCCCTCTGCCCTGGCACTGCAACCCTAATCCTGACCCCATGGTGGTGTTTGGAGAGCACCACCCTGCAAGAGCAGCTCCTCTACCAGGGGGGCTGGGCCCAGTTTCCCGCTCTGGGCATTGCCACCTGGCACATGGGGTTGCAGCCCCATTCAAGTTTGGCCCAGCCAGCCTTCCATCATGATGGGAGAGCGTGGCTGGCGTAATCTGAGTGGGTGGCATTGCAATACGCCCTCCTCGCTTTCCCCTGAGACCGCCTCTCGCACCCGGCTGAGAGAAGTGTATGGTTGCCCCAGTGATGGGTTAATCTGGCCCTGCTTGTATCTTGCGCCTGCCTTCTCGGCACTCCCTCGTGCTCTGCCCTGACTGAGAAATGTGGTGAATAAGTTATTCCTTGCAGTTTTCTCGCAATGAAGAAGGTAAAAGACTATAGAAGGTCCTTGGATTCATTGAGGTGAAATGGCTGTCTCTTCCATTCACCCTTCTGGAATCATTTTTGCTGGCAGGGAACCTCTCCATCTCCTCCCCTGGGTTCTCCGTGCTGGGCTCTTCACACGTCTCCATGCTCTCAAGGCTCAGCACTTCTGCTGGAAGATTGTGCATGCTGAGATGTCAGGCATGCGGGGCCGGCAGTATCAGATCAGCAGTGAAAGCTCCAGCTCCCTGCACGATGGTCTGAATTTAAGGGAAGGGAGGGGAGGATACGTTGCCAGGGAAGGAAGCGTCTAAAACGATCCTTTAGGGTTGTTGAAGTTGTTGGAGACTGGGGGGGGGGGGGGGGGAAGTTGTTGGAGACTGGGGGGTTGGGGTGTTAGTAGAGCAGGAAGAGAGGGTTAGAAAGAGACGGAGAGAGACAGAGAGTGAGTGTCAGGGGACAAGAGCAAAGAGTTTGGGTACAAGGCTACAGACCTTTACTATATTCATAGGGATTCAATGCACTGCACTGGAACTTAGCGATACAACTCCCATAGACGTTATTGTGGCTCTGCTTGGAGGCCGTACTCCATTCCGCTATTCTTCCGACATACACTGGCCTCATTCACAGCTGCAAGCACATAGCCACGTGCGCCGCTTCGTTTTCATGTCCAGGGCGAGCATGCTCCCAGCAAACCCTGGCCACCTTCTGTATGTCGGAGAATGGAGAGGACCTCCCCAGCCCAACCTTTCCAGCCAGAATAAAGGAGGGCTTTCAGCAAGAGAGCACTGAACTCCCAGCTTCAGTCTAATTGATGTTTAATGGGAAATGCTGCAGAGACAGAAGAACGCTTAATGCCTCTCTCTGTAACAATGTGTGGGAACGCTTTTTGGAGAAAGTCCCAAACACAGAATAGCTAAGGACTGTACAGGAAACATGGTTGTTCATGGAAACTGCAGCAGAACAATGAACCTTTACAAAGATCAGCGATTAACTCAAAGCAGGCAGAAGAGCTCTGTTCACTCGCAGCCTTCAACACACCCACTGGACTGATACAGAGGGCCAAGTTTTGCCCTGACTTAAACTCAGTGCAGCCCCATTGAAGTCACTCGGGTCGCAACATGTCAAGCCAAGGCAGGATTTGGCTCTTAGAATTTTTGTTCATTTGAACTTTATGGGCCAGGTCCTTAGCTGGTGTCACCCCATTGAAATAAATTATGAAGAGTTACATGATTTACACCAACTGAAGACCTGGCTTTAGTGATTTCAGTTCCCAGGGTTTTATGCAAATTGTGTCATCTTATTTTGCTCCTAGTGCCTAGCATCCTCTGAATTTTGTTTTCCATTTACAGTCCACATGAACCCCAAACCTCAAAGAGAAATTCTGCCAGAACGGCTTGCTCCACCTACAGTCATGTCTGCACCCTACGTGAGCAGGGCAGGGGGTTGACATCAAACCCTAATTCTGGTTTTGCTTGCAATGGGTCCCAGGTTTTGTTCACCGTGCGTTCCGGTTTTGTTGGTTACAGAGCCTGCATTCATGATCCCTTTGACAAAGCCGGTGTAAGGTTCAGGTTTTTAACATTTAGGTGAATTTTGGCATGATGTTGAGTTTTGCTGCCTATGTTCTGCATACCTCTGAAGATGATGAGTATTGGTAATTTAACAACTCTTTTTTTAGCTTGCTGCTTTGTTCTCTGTGCAGGTAATCCAAGAGACCAGTGGCCTTCAATCTGAAGGAGTGGGTGAAGGAAATCAATACGTTCCAGACTCCCACCGTCTTAGTTACCTCAAGGTACAGCTTGTATCTTTAGCAAGGTGATATTCAATGTGTAAAATGCTTTAAATCCTTCTTTTACAGCCGACTCCTTTAACAAAAAACATGCAGAGTTTACACCAGTGCAGTAACTTTATCTGGGCAGGAAGGAGACTGAGACTGATACGAATGCAACCACACTTTACTGCTGAAAGAAGCATTATTGGAGCAATATTAATTTTCCTTGACATACATAGAGAGCATAAACTAACCTCGATTATTCCTGAACTGCCATTTGCTGAGTTTCTTGCTCCTTCCACTGAAGTGTCTGGTGGAAACCTGTTAGTGGACGGAACGGACCACTGGTCTGACCTAGCGTGGCAGGAGCTATGTTCCTACCCTGACCCTAGTATAATGATTTGCCTACATCCAAACTCTCCAAAAGTTTGGATAATTTCAGATCCAGATTCAAACGTTGAAGCCTGGGATGATCTCCAATACAAATAAATGTTGGGAGTCTTAAGAAACAGCCCCAGAGCAGCACAAAGGTGACTATCCGAGAGCTGGGGACCTGGAGATTCTCCAGTATTAGACCATCACAGTAGCACAATAAACCCAAGTAGGTGCCCAGATACCATGGTGAGGGACACAGCATGGACAGATAGATGGAAAAAAAGAGGTGGCAATGGATCCCATCTTACTTTTAGGAAAATATTTATTAAAAAAAAAAAAAAATTAAAAAGGCTTGGCCTACAATTTAAAGGGGAAAGGACTCTAACGAAATACCTGACAGAAGTGGATGGGCCTCCAAAGTACACAATATAGGCTAGATCCTCACCTAGCTCCAGTGATTTCAACCGAGCTACACAGCTCCAAACCAGCCGAGGTAGGGGGCCCACACATTTAGAGACCTGGGTTTGCAAATGTGCCTGGGTTGCTACATAGGACACATGTGACTTTTCATGCTTCCTTCTGTGATGTCCACACTTTGTTCCCATAATTATTTCAATACTTTCCCCAAATTTCCCTTGACCAGCATAGAGACCCAGCCCATGGATTTTTTTTTTTTTTTGTCAACAAAGACATTCTTGGCCCATGCTTGGTGGTGTTAATGTATTGCCTTGGCCCCGTGGCGCTCACGTCTGGTCCTCGTTGACAGGCGGACTTGTCCGAGAGGCATTCTGTGGCATCAGAGAGCGGGAGCAGCACGGACGGCCACCCGGAATCCATTGAAACAAAAGATGGTAAAAGAAACCAATGTCTGGTGTAACAGGACACTCCTTTGCTCTGTCTTCTTACCTCTCAGACTCACAGGACCACGTATTTGAGTTCCCTTCACCACCACCACCACCACCATGCAACAGTCTATTTACGATACCCTTTGTGCTTTCAGACCTCTCCTCGGGACCTGAGAGCAGCAGAGCCCTCCCTTCCCTGAGGCCTTTGTGAGCCCAAGCCCACCCCATCGAGCACTTCCTTCCTGTGTCTCTTTAGCCTGATGGGCTAATTGGCTCTTTAGCCCACCAGCCTGATTATCTAATGCCCTCAATCTGCTTTCCGGGTGGGGCAGGGGGAACTAATTTGCCTCCAAGTGATCAGAGAGCAGGTTCACCCCCTGCACTGGGGAGAAGCTTGCCTGGATGGGTTTATTCCAGATCACCAGTCCCACCCATTTCACTCGCAGCGAACCCCAAACTGATCTGACAGCGGGTGAAAGCTGTAGACACGTTAACTTCCATTTTTTTCAGGGACAGGTGGAAAGGAAGGATGGTCAAGTGTTTAGGGCTAGCAGTGTACAGCCCCTAGCACAATGGATTGGGATACGATTCTGTCATGGTGGTCACCACTGCTGCATCCGTCCTGACCACTCCTCCAGTGACGGGCTGGGGAGAGAGGGTCGGGGGGACTGGGAGAGAAGGGGGTTGGAGATTGGGTGAGCTGGAGGTGAGGGGTGGTCAGCGATTGGGTGAGCCAGGGTCAGGGGGAGCAGGATGGAGGGGGAAAGGGGGGAAAGAAGGCAGAGAACAGGAACTATAACCACAAAGGACCTGGGGGGCTGAAGGGAACATAGACCAGCCCTGCCCTTCTGGGAGCTCTGCACTGGGGAGAGGGACTTTTACTGGGACAAAATCGTATCCCTGACAGCAGGGTCCTGGCCTGTGAGTGGAGCTCCTAGCGCTGCAGTTATACCAATAATAAGGATGTTAGTCTGGGACTCGAGACCTGGGTCCAGCTCTGCCAGACTTCCCATGGTGTATAAGTGCCTCAAGAGGCAGTTAGGTACCTAGGAGTTTTTGAAAATCCCCTAACTCCCATTGCAGTTAATGGGATTCAGGCACCTAGGTGCTTTTGAAAACCTCGCTTGGTGCCTATCGGCAGCTTTAGGCACTGAAATACCTTGAAAAATCTGGCCCTTAGTCTCCCTGGGCCTTGGAGTTTTATAGCCGAGCCCTGCCTCACAGGGGTGTTGAGGATAAATTCATTAAAAAAGAAAGATTGTGAGGAGCTCAGATGCTACGGTAATGGGGGCCTTAGAGCACATCCTGCATGTTGTGTACAAATTAGGGTACCTGTTGGTATGCACAGCTTGTGTTGTTTATGGGGAGGACCTAGAGTAAGTGATGCCTTTGTTTACTATTGACTCATTTTCGGCATTCACTGCTAGGCATTCTAGACTTTAAAAATTGTGCCCGCCAGCTAGTTTGGAACGAGAATCTTGTGTGTCGCTTTAACGGCAGGTAACATGGTTTGTGTGTGTGGCTCCAACGGCATGACTTACATACTGTACATTTCTCTCTGTTTGTGTTAGTCAAGAAGAAGGGTACAACTGGCCTTAAACTGAGCAACCTGATGAACCTTGGGAGAAAAAAATCCAGCTCATTGGAGAGTCCAGAGAGGACACTAGAAACTTCCAGTAAGCGTCCGGAAGGATGTTACCATGAAACAGAACCCACAATTTTGTATTTTCAGCCTAGCACCCTAAAGAGAATTGTGCTCACAAGAGCAGGTAGCAACATGAAGGATGAGTTGCCAATCAGCCATCAGCCCCTGGAAACATCAGAGGTAGACGTAGAAGGCCTCTGTGCTTCCGTCCCCAGAAAGCAACATAAGACATAGGGTTCCTGAATGCTCAACAGGGAGAGGTTGATGTGGGATTTAAAGCTTTGGGTGAACAAGGCTCCATAGTTTTGCATAAGCTTTGACTAAGGGCAGGTCTACATGGAAAGCTTACATCGGCATAGCTATGTCTCTTGGGTGTGAAAAATCTACAGCCCCCGAGTAACGTACTTAGCTGACCTACTCTGCTGTAGACAGTGCCAGGTTGATGGCATAATTCTTCTGTTGACCTAGCTACCACCTCTCGGGGAGGTCTATTAACTACGGCAACAGGAGAACCCGTCCTGTCGCTGTAGTGAGTGTCTATGCTGAAGTGCTGCAGCCTAAGCATCCACAGTTTGTTTGCCACTCTGAACCTAACCTGAATTCTGAAGGTAAAAGTGTGACCAGTTTTCCACCCATGTCACAGCAAAATTTGGCTCCAAACCTTTACAATTAACCTATGTGTAGCGAGCCCTCGCCTTTTAAACCAGCAACCAGACGTGTCTCTGTTGATATACTGGCCCAATGGAGGCTTCAAATGTGCGTGTGATTCTCAAACCCAGGTCCCAATGTGGTAGAAGATGTTACTAAGCCAGCATGTGCTTGCTTGCAGGTTACCTGAACATACTAGTGAACAGCCAGTGGAGATCCCGTTGGTGTCACATAAAAAATGGTCACCTCCATTTCTACCAGGACAAGAATAGAAGTAAATCTGCACAGCAACCTCTGAGTCTGGTGGGCTGTGAAATTATTCCAGACCCCACCCCTGACCATCTCTATTCTTTCCGTATTCTGCACAGTGGGGAAGAACTAGCCAAATTAGAGGTATGGCGGTCTATGTTTCTCACAGGAAATTATCGGGATATATCCGCTAAGGTGGCCATAAAAATTCCTACTGCCCTGCGGGATGAACTCAGCTGAGTAACATTCTCAGAAGTACCTCTCTTTAGCCACAGATAAAATGTTAAGTCTCCAGGACTGCTGGTAACTGGAAACAGAGACCTTCATATTGTGAAGAACACTAATCTTAAAAGGCCAGGATCTCAGCTGGCATAAATTGGTGCAACTCCATTGACTTGCCATTCACTTACACCAGTTAGGTTCTGGCCCAGAAAGCACAAGTGAATCTACTCAGATCTGCTACTTTCACTTGCCTGTATCCTGGACTGTTTATCTCTAATCTTAGTTTCCTCTGACATCAATATGATTAGAGTAGGAGGAGGACAATGTGAGCAATTTCCTGTGTTTTCCAGTGGGTGGAATATTTATAGCTAAACAACAGGCTTGAAATGACTGCCACAAGGTCCGAAGGTGTTTTGTTTAGCTGACCGACCACTGTATGTCTGAGGTGCCCAGTAAATCACAGACCATATGTCTGCTGGCAGATGTAAAAACTAAAGTGGTGTTTGAAAACATGACAGCAGTTTGTAAATGGGGGAAACTAAACTTCATCAGAGTGTCATAGTCAAAGTCCAAGCTGACTGGCTGGTTTCCAGGTTGCACTAATTTTACTGGGATGGGAGGTGGAGGAAGAATCGAGTCCAAAATATAGATTCCACATTTTGCCTGATTTAACAAAAATCTGCTTAATTTTAGGGCTATACAAGACTTGTTGACTTTTAACAACAGGGATCTGCGCAAACTTTATCCAGTTTTGATTAACATGAGTTCTCTGCCCCCCCTCCAAGTTTTGCTTTGTTTCTTTGAAATATTGAGGTTCAAGCAGCAACGCTCAGCTGTATCTGCCCAGTTTTGCAGTGTTTCAGGTGGACACCATCTGAAACCAGGAGTTCCACAGGGTTCTCCACTAGAGATGGTCTCAAGTCACAAAATTCCTATCTGGACTGAGAACACTCCAAACAATGAACTGTGGCTCAAGCTGTTGGTGAACATCCAGGGTTTCAGTGCGTCTCATTACAAAGACATGGGCCTTATTCCAAAGTCTGATCTGGATTGGGGTTCAGATTTCAAACCTCCCTCCCAGGCACTCAGAAAGTGGTCAGTTTGGACACAGGGTTTTGATTCGGACCCATAAATCAGCCCGAGTTCTCTTGAAACTTGTCCTGTTCAGAGACCCTGCAGATTTCATTATTCAAGTTATGCGCAGGTCTCCTAATACTAGCAATCTTGAAAGTCTCATCACTGCCCTCTACTGGTCAAAGAATGAAAATTCAGTCTTTCCTCTGCAAAATTGGATTGCCTGATAGACTCCAGCGGGGTGAGGCTATAGACAGCTGAGATCTCCTCCACTGTAACAGGGAAAACTCAGAGCCCTGGTCTTGGCAGGGAGGTAAATGAGGAATTGCTTTTAGAAATACTCTAGTTTAAAATATAAATGTAACTATAAAGTCTACATGTGGGACCTTAATCCCATGTCAATTTGCTTAATTTCAAAGCATTGCAGTTTATTTATCCTAACAGACCCCAATAAATCTGCAATTTACCTTCCCATCGCATATTGGAAACTGCTGTTATAGCCATAAAAATCTGTTTCTTTGGCTATGTTGTAGGCCAAGTCTTCTGAGGAAATGGGCCATTGGCTGGGCCTCCTCTTATCAGAGTCAGGCTCGAAAACGGACCCAGAAGAGTTCACCTATGATTATGTTGATGCTGACAGGATTTCCTGCATCGTGAGTGCTGCAAAGAATTCATTCTTGTAAGTCACAGTGGCAGCACTTTTGGCTTTGAAAAATTCCTTGATCTTCTAGGCAGCTGTAGCTGGTGAGGGGTAACAGGTCGGAGAATGGAGTCCGGCCCTCAGCTGGTGGGTGGCTGTGTGACGCATGAGGCACTTGATCTCAAAAGAAGAGCAGCAGATCACATTTTCCTGATGCTCAGCGGCAGACACCTCGCTGGGCACTCAGGAAGGCAGTGTGGTGCTCGCTCTCCTCCATTGTCGCTCACAAGCGGGACTGAGGCAAGGAGACTGTGGATTGCACTAAGGAGCAAATCCTACCTCTGCCACAGGGGATACCCTGGCAGTGGAGTCAGTGTGGAGGGCAGACTCTGGAGCGCCTGGCGTGTAGGGGTGGGGCTGGAGGCTCCACTGCAGCATGTAGATTCCCAGCCATGGTGGGAACACGGGGGGCACCTGCAGCTTTTGAAAGCATGTCGCCTTGGGTATTTACAGCTTAATGCAAAGGAAGTGCTGTGAGCCCAACACCTATATCGATAACCTGCCGAAGATAAGGACCCAGGAGGAGGAACTCTACGATGACGTGGATCCGCCGGAGGGGACCATGGTACGGCTTTACAATGGCAGCAGCCTTCTGCTAGTCGGGCCACATGCTTATCCCTTTTCTCAGAGCAGCTGAAAGAATGAGAGTTGCTGTAAAGCTGTTGTGATTCCGCGGTGATGCTGATCTGCCGGCTGAATACCCAGAGGAGTGGGGTGGGGTGGGGGAGTCCCTAGAGAGTACTCAGACTCTTAGGGCTTGGCTACACCTGCGAGTAACAGTGCATTAAAGGAGCCCCGGGCGCCCTAGCTCGCTACCCGTCCACACTGGCAAGGCACATAGAGCGCTCTGACTCCATGGCTACAGCACTGCTGGTACTCCACCTCGGCAAGTGGAATAATGTTTGCTGCGCCCTGGCTGGAGCACCACAGTGCCAGTGTGAACGAGGTGTTGCACTACTGCGCTGTGATCAGCCTCTGGAAACGTCCCATAATCCCCTTAAGTCAAGTGGCCACTCTTGTCATTGTTTTGAACTCGCTGTAGGAATGCGGATATGCCCTTTCAAAGCTCCGTTTCTGACAGCTGGCTGCTTATCTGCTCCGGAACAAAGGAATGCTGCTTGCTGTGAGTGAGTGAGAGAGAGAGGGGCGTGGGGGGGAGGGAGGTCTACTGCTGTCTGAACTTACAAGACAGCATGCTGACAAGCTCTCAGCCCCCCCAAAACCCACACTCTCTCCCTCCACATACACACAACACACTTCCTGTCACACTCCTCACCCCCCATTTGAAAAGCATGTTGCAGCCACTTGCATGCTGGGATAGCTATCACAATGCACTGCTCTTTGTGGCCATTGCAAGAGCTGCTAATGTGGCCATGCCAGTGCGCTTCCAGCTGAGAGTGTAAAGATTCGGCAGCATTTTCCCTGCTGCGCTCTCCGAAGGCGGGTTTAACTCCCAGTGCTTTACAACTGCAAGTGTAGCCATGCCCTGAGACAAGTAATTGCATTGAACCCTGTGGCCTCTAGATGGTAGCGTTGCAGCTACAATCTGCTGAAGACCGTCTCACGCATGGATATTTGGCTAGCAGGGCAGCAAAATACTTCTGGGCTAAAGGATAACGGCTGCTTGAATTGCAGATACCTCTCATTATAAGGGTAGTGATTTCTCACTGAACAGCCAAGGCTTGCTTCAGCAATGCAAGGGGAGATCTTTTTAAGCATCCACTGAAAGTCAAACTCCCTTTGCTCCCTGGGAAATTTGCTAAAGCTTTCGGGAAAATTCCCCTTTCTTCCCTGCGGAGTGTGCCTACCTGCTTACCTAGCTTGTTTATTCAAAAGCGATAACTTGGACTCACATGGCTTAGGGAATTGTTAGTGGAATACAGAGTCTTTCCTGTCTGGCTTGCTTGCTTTGAATTCAGCCCAGAAGGGTCGTGGTCAAAAATTGTTGCCATTTAACAGCTGTTCACTGGTATGAGTGAAATAGGCTGGTGGTCTCAGTGCGGAACCTTGACCAACACATCATTGGAACTGTTGGAATGGCCACGGACCAGGAAGACTGGCTCTCGCATGAACGTTGGCCCTTTACTTAGGATGGACAGCATGAAGAAGTTTGTCTTGCTCCTTCCCATACTAGACCAGACCTGAGGATAACAACAAATTGGTTTCCATTCACTGCGGGTCTCAGGCCAACACTTTTTGCTATCATTCAATTCATTTGAAAAAAAAAAACAGAGAGCGAGGGTAACATTTTTCAAAAGCACCTAAATCCTATGAGGAGTCCAAGTCCACTGGCTTTCAATGAGACTTTGGGCCTTAGCCTTAGGCGCTTATGTAAATGTTACCCCCAAATCATCCAAGTCAACATTGTTGCTTCCTAGCGTGAGACTGAGATTGTGCCTGGCAGCAGGGTTTAGTCAGGATTCTTTTCAGATTATACTTTCTCTTTTGCAGGAAGAAATACCCCAAAGCGAAAGCAAAGATGAAGAGGACCCAGACAAAGTGTACCTAGACCTCACACCGGTTAAATCCTTCCTGCACTCCGCTGGCAGGAAACCGGCACAGCCATCACCTCCACTCTCTCCATCTGTGGACTACGGAACGGAAACACCCCTATTGGCTAAGGAAGCAGAGCCCCGTAGAACGTCATTGGAAATCCCAGACCAGGTGCTGTAACGACTCCAGTGACAGTTGATTAGTCATCAGTTGATTAGTCCCTACTGCCAATTCATTCCTAACATTTTTCTCTCAACAGACACTTCAGGAGAAGATGGAGCCGGAAGAGTCACCATCAAAGACAACCACTGTCAAAATCCAGATGCAGCAGCAGAAAATCGCCTTCCCCCAGAGCAGTCCTGAGATCAAAGCCTCTCGCACAGTTACGGCCAGTCCACAGTTAGCGTCGGCGCCCAGAGAGAAAGTGGAATGGCCCAAGGTGGCAAATACAGGTGGGTCCACTAGACGACATAACTATGCTGCCAAAGGGAATGGTGGATGGGTGCGCAAAGTCCACCACTTATCTGACTGCTAGAATTGAAAGTTTTCTGCACTTGGCTGATCTTAATGGTGGTTTTTCATCTGCTAGTGGTGAGTAAGGGCCTGACCCTGCAGGGCATTGAGTAGTGCCCAAACCTTTGTGCAGCCATTTCAGCCTGGACCGCTGCTTTTCCTCCCTCTGGCTACGGCAAAATGGCTCATTTGCTTGGTGACCTCAGCTGTGGCTCCAAAGGTCCAAGCATGGTAGGGGGCAAAAGAAGGAAAGAAATGTGTGTGCTGATGAGTTCGGGACCCACAACGCCAAGCTGGGCCAAACCCGTAAAGTGGGTCTGCAGTGGACGCTTGCAACTCTGGCTCGGGCATGTGTCGATAATGTAAAGCAGAAGGCTTGGCAAGAGGGAGTGGTAAAGGCAAAAATGCACACTGCCTTTGAGAGAGATGTCGGCTTGGTCTCAAAATTAACACCGCTATTTAAATCAGGGGAGAGGAAGGATACAAAGGTGAAATGAGTCTGCCTTCAAGTGGACACACAGCTTCCAACCAGCCTTCTCAAAAGGCAAGAGACCAGGAATCCCTCCCCCAGATTAGTTTCCCAAGGACAATGGGAATAAGGGAGAATGACTGTGAAGTATACAATGGATATTGCCTTTGAGACAGGACGATGACTTCCTCCAAGGGGGCCATGGGGTGGAGTGTGGGTGGGAGCCATCTAGTATGATGATGATAAACCACAGCAACTGGCTTAAACCGTTTTGTAAGAGCTGCTGAATGCTGAAAAGGATTGACACAGGGCTTGCAAAGCAGATCTTGGGCACAAAAAGGAGATCCTTAAGACACAGAAAACAGAGGGTACGTCTGACCCTGAGAGTCAGAGGGAAGAATGCTATGTCTTGAAATGTGGAACGTCTTTTCTTTTCACTGTAACTAAACTAAGGGGACCATATCCAGATTCGCTTTTGCAACGCTTGGATCTAGCTTTGTTCTGAAAACTGTTCCTTTTGTTTTAAAATGCATTTCTCTCTTTTTAATAAATCTTGCTTTCAAGAAGACGAAACAAGTGTTACTGTTGCTTGGGTAAATGCCCCAAAGAGAACCACACCCCTCCAAGGAGAGGTAGTGAAGAGGAAAGGGGTCTGAAGCCTCTTCTCACTTGGTTTCTTGGTCAAACATGGGCTTAAAGGATCTTTGCTGCAAGAATCTGTGCCATGGAGAGCTCCTTGAAGGGGATAAGGCTAAAGGCATAGACACTTGTTTCATGTATTCATAACACTTTCTGAGTGGCCTAAAATGGGGTTGGCCTCTCATGAAAGAAGCAAAGTCACATTCACTAACAGGATACAACAAGTGCAAGCCATAAACAGACAGCGGAAGTGGGGAGGAGCAGAGGAAGGGGGACCGTAATATGCTCATATGGTTATTCAGTAAGACACGAGAGCTGAGTGGTTATCTTGCCTCCTCCCCACATCTCCCAGGGTGAGGGAAGAAGTGAGAAGAGGACTTGATTAGATGGAGGTGGTTTGGCAGATGGGTTGGGGAAGGGCTTCCATGCATAAGGTGCCGCATGGAGACAGAGGTGAGAGAAGACAATGAAGGGGACCTGGTGGCATTGGTGGGGAGAGGAGATGTAAAGGGAGAGCAGGAGGAGGCCAGGTCAGAGATGTAGGCAGAGGCTGCGTGTTGTAGGGCCTTGAAGGCAAGGAGAAGATGTTTGTGTTGGATGTGTAGCACAATGGAAAGCCAGCGATTCAGAGATGGGACAGGGTGGTTGAAGTGGTCGGTAAGAGAGAGGATTTTGGCTGCAGTGTTTCAGATGGAGGGTGGAGGGACCTGAGTATCAGTGGTGCAGGAAAAGGAGCTGAGGTGTGGATGAATGCTTTGGCCGCTGGGACAGGAAGGAAATGCGGAGGGAGGTGGGGAGAATGGTGGGTGACAGGATGTGGCTACGGTTTGGATGTGGAGGGAGACGGAAATAGACGTTAAACACTGACACCGTGTTCAAGATACAGATAGACACAGCCTAGTCCTAACGGGGCCTAAAAGCTAAGGGATATAGACCTGGAACGAAGCACGAACTGTGTCCAGAGGTGCTGGAATCTCCGTCAGGAGGAGTAAGTACATTCTGGGACTCTCAGCAGACATATGGCAAGGCCTGCAGTGTCCCCTCTCTAAACACAGCTACTTTCGGTGTATGAATTAGGGAGCCACCTCCTTCCATGTTGTTGTAAACCTGGCTCCAGTCCTCCTCCCTGCCCCGACCACCCCCAAATCGCCAGCGTTAACATTTCAAAACAAGGATTCCGGTTCCCCGCCCCTCCAAATTTGCGTATCCAGGATGACGGTGTGGTGCTGCTCCTCAGTTAAGATGAGCTGGCTTTAGAAGCCATGGAGTAGTGGTTCTACAAACTTTCGAGCCAAGACTTTCAGAAGTCACTAGAGATTTTGGGTGCTGCAGTTTGGTGGTGCCTAACGTGAGTCACCTCCGAGAGGCCTGATTTTCCAGAGGATGGGAACTCAGCTCTTTTTGAAAAAAAATCCTTTCAGGTGATTCAGGGTGGGCACTCAACAACTGATGTCCCCAAAATCACCAGCGATACCTGAACAGCTGGGCCTTGGCTTGTTTTCAGAGCAGTGTTGTTATTAAATTGGTTGTGTCCTTTAAAAGCTCATATACAATTGTGTCTTTAAACTACAGTATTTTTCTATCTAGAAACCGCTCTCCAGGGGTGACTGGAATATGTCATGACGGTGTTGCCTAGTGATTTAAGCACAGGACAGGGAACCAGGGACTCCTGATTGCTAAGACTGGCTCTGCCACTGATGCCTTTTTGTTTTAGAGCTGTGAAAATAAGGGATTTTTCAGTCTGCCGGCAAGCCAAAAATTTTGGGGTGGGAGGATTCTCATTTTGGGTCAAACCAAAAACAAAACTTTTTGAAATTTTTGACAAATTGAAAAGTTGGGGGAAAATGTTGTGGGTCAAGTGAAATGTTTTGACAGACTCGAACCATTCCATTTCTAGTTCAACCATTTTTAAACTTTTTTTTTTTTTTTAAATAAAATAAAAAGAAATGTCAAAACACTCATTTTCAACTGAAAAACTGACATGGCTCGTTTCCAAAACACTGAAACTAAAGGTTTGTTTTGTGATTTTATTTTATTTTATTAATCAAAACAATTTGGCAAAACTGACATGAATTCATGGAATGTTTCTGAGTTGCCAAAACTGTTTTTTTCACTGGAAAACATTTTTGGCTGAAAAATGGCACCCAGGCGGGACTGTTTTTTCCATCATTAAAATAGAGACAATATATCACAGGGGTGTTTGAGAATTTAATTCACTGAAGCTGCATAGTGGTATATCAGGCCTAAGTGATCGTACTACTTTCTGGAGTAGATTGCTTTGCTTTGCTTTCATGGATATATGACGACTCTGAAAACTTTTTCCCTTTAGCCTTGTCCCTGGCTAAGCCTGACTTTGCTGATGTGTTTGCAGTGCCTGTAGAAACCAAACTGGGCAAGAACAGGATGGAAGCTGAGGTGAAGCGGTACACAGAGGAGAAGGAGCGGCTGGAGAAGGAAAAGGAGGAAATCCGATCTCAGCTGACCCAGCTTCGGAAGGAGAGACGGGAGCTGAAAGAGACGTTAGCTAGCTGCCCAGGTAGGAGCCCAGGGAAATTTCAGCTCAAAGGAGCAGGTTCTGAAACAGACCTAGGTACTGCCAGAGAGACCATCAGGAGCACCATCTGGCGCTTTTGCAGGAGAGGAAGGATGCATCCAGTGGTTCAGGCGCTAGCCTGGGACTTGGGAGTCCCAGGTTCAATTCACTGCTCCAAAACTGACTTCCTGTCTGACCTTGGGCCAGACACTTAGCCAATACCTTTGAGGCTCTGGGCCTAAGGTACTATTTCCGTGGGAGTTAGCTGCCTCAATGCCTTTGGGCCTCTCTGTGCCTCAGGTCCCCATTGGTAAAATGGGGATAGTAGCACTGCCCCACTTCACAGGGACGTTGTGAGGATAATGATATTAAAGATTGTGAGGCGCTCAGATACTGCAGTGATGGAGGCCACCTAAGTGCCATGGATATCTAAGCTCCAGGTAGCACTCTGCACTGACTCACATAATGGTGACTAGAGTGGGGGTGGGAATAGGCCCTGGGAATTAGTGATGTAGTGCCAACCATTTAGTGTTAAGTTTGGGTCACTCACTATGCATCTGAGCTAGGAGGAGAAGGACCCCTAACTCGTTATCATGGGTCTATGCAGTTAGTGTCAGACATGCTCAGACTGTGTATTCGACAGGGAATATTCCGAATCGTACATGACTGTCTCCCACTAGTGGCTGGGGCCAGGGCATGAGGCTGCCAGCAGACATAACCATACTCTGCGTGTTACAAGGGACACCGGACTGTACAGTAATAAGTATTCTTATTCCGATCACTATGCCTCCCTCAAGAAGTCATGCGAGTCCCCCGTGTCACACACTAACCAGCCCAATCCCAGCAAATCTAGTTATGGAGGGACAATTGCCCAGATCCTCCTCTAACAATAGAGCCGTCAAGGGTTGGTACACAGGTAATTGCTCTCTCTTACACTCTGTCTGCTGACAAATGCAGGGAATCCACTGACCGCCTCAGTCTTGCCTGAGAAAAGCAGCACATGCACGGGAGATCTGTGCGTACAGTTATCCCCACGGCTTAGCTGGGGGCGTGTATTTATTTGGTCTTCCCTCTGCAGATAGCAGCCTGGTGGCTAATGTGGAGCAGAAGCTGAAGGAAATAGATGAGGAGTGCAAAAAGAAAGAGAGCAGGAGGGTTGACCTGGAGCTGAGCCTTGTGGAAGTGAAAGAGAACCTGAAGAAAGCAGAGTCTGGCCCGGTGACACTTGGCACAGCTGTGGACACCACACACCTGGAGAACGCAAGCCCCAAGGTACGTGCTGTGCTAAGCAGCTGCTGTTTCCCAGCCAAGTGGCAGGGAGTTGCTAATCAAGGCCTGGCTCTGGGAACTGAAGTGCTTTACATCTCCCCTGTGGTAGCGAATACTATATAATCTTAGGATTGCAGCCTCAGAAATGGGGATGGGTCCAGACCTGAAGCCCAGATCCTGCCGCTTCTGCACTGTGGATAAGGAGAGATGAAAGGTGCTAGTTGGGCCCTGGGGAGACCCGAATGTAATTCCCTGCTCTGCCACGGGCTTTGTGCATGCAGAGGTGACGTGTGTGTGTGGAGGGGAGGGACACACAGGGTCACATGCCCCCACAGATTTCTGCCAGGATTTATATTTTTATTTTTTGCAACCCTCCAGACAGGTCACTAGGGCCACACGTGAGGGGCAAATTCCACCACCATGAGGTCACTGCAGGCTTATGGGACCAGGCGCCTGCCCTGGTGTTTGTTCGGGTCTTGCACAGGAAGCGGGGGGGATTTAACCAGGGCCACACGGTGGCTAATGTGCAGGAGCCCCCAGCCGGGGGCCCTTGGAAGCCGTGGCTGGAAACCACCTCATCTCCAGGGGCTTGGGGCGGGACCGCTCCTGCATGTGTTGACTCAGAGTCAGCCCTGCTCGGTCCCCCTTCCTGTGCGGCAACTGACGGAGCTGAGCCAGTCACATGACCTCGGAGGCCGGGTGAGCTGCCCCCCCTCACTGGGTGCTGCAGGGAGGGACCATTACTTACTGGGGGTGGGGGAGGGAGCATAACCCGAGCTGTTCAGGGGGGTGGCCGAACCTTTAAATTGTGCGCCACACACACTGTCGCATTGCCGCTGTGTGCATGACCTTGGGCAACTCACTTAGGCCCAGACCCACAAAGGTATTTAGGTGCCCATTGACTAACCCACCGATTTCAAGGGGGAGCTAGGTGCCTAAATACCTTTTGAGGATCTGGGCCTGAGTGTGTCTGTGCCTCAGTTTCCCATCTGCAAAGTGGTGATAATAGCACTGCCCTGCCTCACAGGGGTATTGCGAGAAAAGATGCATTAAAGAGCGTGAGGCGTGCTGAGATACTACACTAATAATGGCCAGTAACTACCTAAGGTCATTAGAGCCAAACTTTGCAGCTTGTGTCTATCCCGTCTTGTAACTCTTGTCCGTATTGATGGCTGAGGCCAAAGAGCGTGGTAGCCAGCAGTGCACTTGGTTAATAAATATAGAAATTACAGACCAAAAAGACCGACTGGGTCATTGGGACTCACCCTTGAAAAATTGAGCCACAAAGAGCCACAGTGTAATCCCCAGTTTGCCTCTTGATGATGTGACACTCCTGTTCATGCCACTGCATCACTACAATTCAGCCTCATTGCTGGGTTGATGCCTCGGCATGAACGGGCTCTTAGAGTTCATCAGAGTGGTTAACTATTTTCCAGCAGGTGGCTAACGATGTGAGAATTTTAGTAACACAAAATCATCTTGGTGACGACTGTTACGTTTATTGTAAATACAGGTCAAAATGGCCAGCCCGGCAAGTAGCACAGAGAACTCCCCGGTCAACTCGGCAACAGCTTTAAAAAACAGGCCTTTATCCATCATGGTTACAGGGAAAGGGACAGTTCTACAGAAAGCTAAGGTAAGGCCCAGTTTAACGTGGGGAGCAAAACGAATCCCCTTGGAACAGATGCGTATACTCAGCATCATTAGGTTCCATTCTCTTCTTTCAAAATCCTTTGCTTCCAGTCTTGCCTTCTGAGCACTGGGAAGCAGCTGCAGACTGCGATTGACCTGTGATGGGCAGGAACGAGACCCGTTCTTCTGCGCCTTGGTCTGTTGCTCAGAGCTGATTAGCCTTGGTAATGGTTTTGCCTTGGTGGGTGTCTGCATCCTGACAGGCATCTTCATCTTCTAACTGCAATTTAACTTCCTTGCTCTGGCTCTTAGAACACTTTCTGTATTTACACAACCACGCTGAGCTGAGCAGTATCAGTCATGCTGAAGGCAGCACAATGTAAAAACCCAAGCATTAACAATCTATCCGTTGAACGTTCCCTTCTTCAGAAACTTGCCTGAACTTTGAAGCACAGTGAGGGAAGGTGAAGACAGCTCACGTTGTATGCGTAGGACATAGGACAGGAGCAGCTTCCCAGCTCCACTCACTGCGTGACCTTGAGACAGCAATTTAACCCCTCTCAGCCTCAGCGGGCACTTCTGTAAAAGGGTGTGTGTGATACGTGGTGGCCTCTGTTAAGCAGAGGGCCACACAAACACTAGAGACACAAGGTGGGTAGGCTAACACCGTTCACTGGACTAGCTTCTGTTGGTGACAGAAACAAGCTTTCGAGCTACACAGAATTCTTCTTCAGGTCGGTGTAGCTTGAAAGCTTGTCTCTCTCACTAACCGAAGTTGGTCCAGTAAAAGATATTACCTCACCCACCTTGTCTCGCTAATATCCTGCACCCAACACTGCAAACATACAAACCCGAGGTTGTATTTACAATGGCCTATGTTTTCAGAAGTGACTTGTGATTTTTTTTTTTTTGGGGTGCCCAACTTGAGAGACTGAAACAGGGCCCACTGTTCATGGGTGGGGGCTCCTCAGAGCTCCATCAGGCTCCTTTGATGGAGTCGGAGGCTGGGTACCCAAAATTAGTATCCAGTTGGGAGCACTGAGGCCTAGCCCACTAAAGTGAGCTGGTGAGCGCTGTGTGGTAGGGACCCACCTATCTTTCCTTTTAGGATGTCACGTGCTTAGTGCACTTTTGGGCTTCCCTCCCTGTACCCCATATTCATTGCCCTATCGCAACCAGACAGGTAAAATCTCCCAATCAGACTCTGCCCCGTAAGGCCATGTTAGTGTCTTTTATCACACAACGCCCCTGTGGGGAAGCTACGAAAGTAGCTGAGCTGCCTTCACACCCTTCTTAAAACTCCTTTCACGAACGCCAATCTCCTTTTCAGTGCAATACGCTCGCTCTCAGGCCCGGTCCCTAACTGCGGGTGTGGTTGCTGTCTACTTTAGCTTACAAACGTGGCTGGGTGTAGAGTTCCCTGGTGTCTTAGGTGGCTACGGTGCTGTCAGTGGTGCCACTGAAATATCTTAACCCCTCAGAACAGTGGCTGAGTGAGCCTGAAACGGTAGGTGGAAGAATGAAGGATTATATGATGCTATTTGATTCCTTTCTGGAACATGTGGGACAGAATTGTCTTCACGGAGGTTTGTGGTGTTGTTTTTTGGCAGGAATGGGAGAAAAAAGGAACCAGTTAGGATGACTCCATTTTCAAGGATGGACTAAAAAGACTGGAATTGCCCATACGTGGACCAGAAGATTCAGTCATCTGTAGGCAAAGGGCCAGGCTAGAGCGGCAAGCTATCCTGTCCTCTATCACCACCCTGTGCCGTTTGCTCAGTCAGAAGGAGTGGGACAGTCTGCGATCATCCCAAACCATCCTGCCCATTCCCATGGCACAGCTGAGAATAACACAAGTGGCAACCTTTGCATCAGCTTCCTAACCTGATTGATGTAAACAAGACTGTTACGGTACAGAGGGCTGGTTTGCGTATGTCTACTCTGAAGTTTTATCATTGCATTATTCATGTTTCTTTATTAGTGAGAACTCCCCTTAGAGCAGAGTCAGAGGGGGATGTGGTGCTTGTCTTTACAGGCCTGTGCTTTCTATACTCAACTATCAGAGGGGCAGCCGTGTTAGTCTGGATCTGTAAAAGCAGCAAAGAGTCCCGTGGCACCTTATAGACTAACAGACGTATTGGAGCATGAGCTTTCATGGGTGAATACCCACTTCGTCGGAACTGTCACCCCCAGCCTGTGTCCATGCAGAAGTAGGGAAAAACCCCTTCTACTGAGATGTGAAACCTGCACCATGGAATGGGAAGCAGCATTAGCCAGGCCTAGGAAGTCAGGGTAGAGGTGTGTTAGAAGGAAGCGAGGGGGAGCTAAGCGTAAAACCTTCTCCACGTACAAGTCAAGTCTTGGAATAACTGTCAGGGATAGGAACCATGTAGCCACCTCAACTTCTCAGAACCATTTCCCAGCCTTTCATGTGCCAGAATACAAGGACGAGCCCTGCTTAATTGTCTGTCTATAAAGGGGCAGGTTTTGGAGCCTAGTTCAAAGGGATATACCCAAAAGCTGTTGCCAGGAGATTGAATTCAGCTTGCTTTATGGAAATTGTGAGTATTGTCAAAGAGCCAGAGCCTCAACTGAGAACAATAGGATAGTGTTGGAGGTTACCTAGGAAGGCCTATTAGCAATGGTTGTTATAAAATGAGAGAGTAGCATGCAACCTCTTCAAATTATGCAGCTTGGGGTTGCTCTAAAACCCTGGCTGGCGTTTAGGGATTTTTACAACTGAAAAATGGCCCCTGGAGATGGAAGCCTGGTTGGCAAGGACTGAGTCCCAGCCACCCTTCCCAATAGTAACTGTTGCTCATTGATTTTGCTCTTCTAAAGTTAAACATGAGAGGAGATGAAATAATCAGCTCAATGACAGTGCTGGTGTCCTGGGGACAGCCCCCCCCTCCCACCCCGCCTTCCTAGCCTGTGGAACTGGCATGCTCCTTCACTATCGAGCTAGGTTGGATTAGCTTTTCTAGAGCCCCTGGTTCTGTAGGCTGCCGTACCAAAGGACACTTCACGGCAGCTCTCAGCGCCCCAGGACTGCAGTCCCTAGGGATGCTCCAGCACTGGGGGCAGACCCTGCAGCCAATTCCACAGCATGGCCTCCTGCCTGCTAACCAGCACAGCAGGCAAGGAGCTCTAAGAGGGGATGCTGACAGATTTCCTCAGCCCTGGTGTTTCTCCAAGACCAAGAGTGGTCTCAGCCTTTAACACTGTGCATGGTCAGCAGCTCCTCCATGGGGCAATTAACCCACAGGGGCTGGACAAGGAACTACAAGCAGGGCCGGCTCCAGCATTTTTGCTGCCCCAAGCATCAGGGAGAAAAAAAAGCGGCGATCGGCAGCACTTCGGCGGCAGCTCTACCGCCACCACTTCATTCTTCGGCGGCAGGTCCTTCCCTCCAAGAGGGACCCACCGCTGAAGATCCGGACGTGCCGCCCCAAGCACCTGCTTGCTGCGCTGGCGCCGGCCCTGACTACAAGTAGAAGGCCGACCCTCCATTGTTTAGCCTTCAGCATTGCTTGAACAACCAGGGCCAGAAGCAGGCAATCCCACCACTGGCCACTAGGTGGTGTGGCAGCATCACACTTTCCTATTCTCTGTCTTTTTGATTAGCCAATCTGGCCCCACTCCCAGTTAGATCAGGTAAAAAGGGTTCTGCTGTATTAGACTCATTAGATCCAGCTATTTAACAGGGTTCTTACGCGGCTTCAAAGAATTGTCACCCTGAAACGGACTCTCTATTCAGTGGGAGATTAAATGCAAAAGGAACGAATGAAGAAGGCCAACTCCACAATTTATACCCAGCCCTCCTCCCATTGTTTTAAAAAAAGCCTCAGATCTTCACTAGCCATACAGTGGTGTTTAGCTGCCTTTCCTCCAGTACTTTCCCCTTTCTTCATCTCGGGAAGAAAGCATTCAGGCCCTGCCTCCGCAAAGCACATCAGGGGAGATTCTGCAAGTTAGGCATCAAATGCCAGGTTTGCCTTTGAAAGTCTCCCCCTAAGCACAAGCATTGCTGACTCAGGGCCTTGGAGAACAAGGAGTGCATTCACAAGCCGCTCCCTGCCTAGCACTGGTCCCTGCTACGTTCAGAAATGTAACCTAGACAAAGGCACAACTGTGGTGGAGGGTCTGACAAAAATCCAGGTTTCTCTCCCCCCACTCCCCCCAACACTGGTGGGGTATTTTCTACCCATCATGCATTTCCTGTCCCATGAGAGCCTCGCCACTCTCCCCCCCCCCCCTTTCTTTTTTCGCTCTAACACGAGCGCTTCACTTTAGTGTGTGTCAGTCATTGCATCCTGCCCGGTCCACCCCATGCCCTTCTCCTGCCATGGTGGCAGAAACCCGCCTCTTACTTGTAGACAGAGCCAGAAGACCAGCTGCTTGATCCTCCATGCCCTGTCGCTGCAGAGTGGTCCTGCTGCTGTAGCTATTCCTAGGCATGACCTCTAATACTAACTCTGATCAGGGGATTGAGAGCATCGAGCACTTTCCACATCCACCAACTGGGTGAGTCCTGACCCCCGCCAACACGTTAAACAGTGAATGCCTCTGTCAGTGCCATGGTCTTCCTAATTCAATGCCGTTTTCTGGGGCATAACTGTGACCCATCCTGTGGCGCTTTAAAGGTTGTTTTTTTTTTAAATAAAATTTGAATATGTTAAATTAGGGGGCTGCTTTTTTAAACAGGGTTGGGTTGTTTTTTAAAAAAAGGAACGAGCCAGGGCCATTCCATCTCCCCAGCTGAGCACAAGTGTTACTAGTGTGTCTCAGTGGGACACAAACCCAGAAGGGGGTGGGGGGGGAAATCTAACATCCCTTTTGTCCACTAGGTAGCAACCTTGTGACATGCTGTTTGTGTTGACACTACCAGGAACAGGTTCACTTGGGAAGAGGGGGGAAATAAAATCAGCCATAAATGTGTGTCTTAGCCCACCCTTCGCTGCGCTCCAAAATGAAGTAAAAAACCCATTATCTTAAGTAAGCAGCCGGCTGAGTGTGTCTGAGAAAGGAGTCGCCACTTTGGGAATATGAAATCCCCTCCTTTACTCCCTGAAACTCTCAGCTTGGTATCACGGCAACAACACGAACTACACGGTAAGGCCCAGCTCGTCCATCTCTGCTTCACCCCACTTGTGCTGGGCTCCTTGGTAAAGTTATCACAAGCCCGGAGAAACCAAATCAACACCCCCTTTCAGAGCTGGGCTACCCCTGTAGTTTTTGTACTGACAAATTATTTCCGTTAGGGTGCAATTTTTATTTTTTTTTTAAACTGATGTAGTTATACCAGGCTAACTGCATCCACGCTAGGGGTTTTACTGGTATAACAGTGGCTTATAGCAGCATAGCTTATTCCTCTAAACTTCTGGTATAGCTTATTGCCATAGGTGTACACAAGGAAATTGTGCATATGCCAGGCTAGCTTGTCACAGTAGGGGATTGTACCACTCCATAGCAGCATAGTTAAAGCAGGGCACTTGGTGTGTGTAGGCAGGCGCTAAGTACATAAAATGGAAATGTATCCTGCTTCTCTCAGACATGCTAGGTCATGGTTGTAAAGTGCTTTGAGAGAGTCTCCACAGAAAGGCCCATATCAATACAAATTAACAAGTCCATTACCATTCAGTGGACCATCGACAGTGATAGCCCAAAGAGAAGGAATAGTTTCTGTCCATACATCATTTATGGAATGTAAATTGGAGGAGCAGTTGCATTTGGCTTTCCTAAGTGATTCTTATCTTGTATAGACCATTTCTCCTCTACCTGGTGTTAAATGTCCGATTAATCATCCCTGGTACAAAGACACTAAGAGACAAACGGCACATCATGAATCATTCTGGTAACAAAGAATGCAGCCAAGAATCCAGTCACAGGGCTGGATCCTTCAAGGTGTTCCTCACATGAGCAGCACGGTGCTTTCTCAGAAGACCTCGTTCCAATTACGCCAATACACGCCGTCCCGTAAGCACTACTCAGTTGAGTAAGCGTTTGCAGGATTGGGCCCACAGGCTGGCCTCTTCAAGAGTCCTAACTTGCATCAGATTTGCAGAGATTTGATGTGCTTAGCTCACTGCAATATTTTTCTGAAGGAATCAGAGTTTATCGAGTTAATGCCTAAGTATATGTATCTCTCTATCACTAATCACTTGGTTATTTACTAGCGTCTACTGGAGTTTTAACGTATACACAACTCAGCATTCGTGTGCGGGCTGTCCATCGAAGAAACTACAGTGAACATCAATACAGCTAGTACAAAAGTCTCATGTCCTGTGAAAATGACTCACACACATATTGATAACATACAAAAATTGTTAGCCCTGCTCCTCACAGAAAAGTTCTCTGGGAATTTTATAGCGTTCTACAGAAACTACATGTAGGATTTTCAGACGTGCTCAGTGCTGGTGTGATTCAGCTCCCCTTATAGGCTGTGGCAAAGTTTCCACAGAATTCAGTATGTGCAAAGGCTGGCCACTGCTGAGTGCATCTGAAAATCCCATACACAGAATTTAATACAGGATCATTATTACAGTGGTGCATAAAGACAGCTAACAGGCCTCTGATGCTGTACAAATACATAGTAAAAGATAGTCCTGGCCCTGAAGAGCTTGCAACAGCATGCACATGTAGTGTTTATACATCTGTTTGTCAATCATCTCTGTATCTTTGCACATCGAAACACTGATCCAATACCCACTGAAGTCAATGGGGCTGGATAAGGCTGTATAATATGACAGAAGCACAAACGGGACTTGTTCTGGAAAAAAATCGATTGCTATAACCCCAGAGTTTTTCTTAACAGATTTCTTTTACCATCCCCTCTTCTTGCTTCGAAGGCACTGGACAATCCTTCATTGACGGCTGAGGCATCTCGCAGTCCGACATAAACAAATCAGAGCAGCTGTCTGCTCAGCATTTTTGAAAATCTGGCCACTTACTCGGATGCCTATATATGGATCTTAGGATCTCAGCTCCCATTTTAGAAAATCTTGGCTCAAATATTTATGGACATTGTTTGGGACAAGAACCAAATTGCTCCACTTTATTCATGCATATTGTTTAAGGCTTAGTTTAAACAAGCTACCTACATTTTATGGGACAAAGCCTCCTGTCTTCACACAAGCAGAAATTCCCAGTGAAGTCTGATTAAGGCATCCGCAGGAATTGGCCCAGTATTTGTGACTTTTACAGGTTAACAACTCATCTCAACGAGGTCTTTGAACGTCTCATGCCAGTTACAGGTCACAACAACACACCTATCTCACTGCAAAGGCCAAACACCTTCTGCGAGGAAAGCAACCAGCAAACCAAAGAAAAAGCCAAGGAAACTGTTACTTTTCAGGTCTTCTGAGGAAGCGGTGCGGGTGTTAAAGACAGAAGCGCCTAGCACTAAAAGTGAAAACACTATCTCAGATTCAGTAGTTACAGAAGGACAAGTTTTAAAAGGAGGGTCCGTGGAAATAAAGCTAAAGAGGATGAAATGTATTGCACTCACTTCCCAAGTTATGACATGAGACCAGGCTCTCCCACTGAAGACAACATATGACCATCTGTAGGGATCATCCAACATCCTACGGCCAGACAATCATTCCTGTTTCCCATTAGTTAGTTTTCAAACTTCCAATTACTCCCAGTGAAAAATTGGCATTTTCCTCTCTAGAAAAAGCTTTTGTTTTTCACCCCAACTGATTTTACTTTACCACCAATTTTGCTAAACTTCCTCCCCGCCCCCTGCTTGGTAACTGTGCAAGGTCCGAGCAATCTCTCAATCTTTAGGATTCCCATCAAATACTTTCTCATTAAGGATTTCTGTTGAACTTCAAACCAGGCTCCAGGAGTGAATTTAAAAAAGGACCACGTGTAAGTGCCAAGCCACCTCCACTTTTTAACTAAAAATTGCCAGTCTGTGCATTGTGCAGGGCCATTTTTGTTTTTCGAACTGAGATAGAGAGACCAGGAAGTTAAAAAGCAGCCTTGATGCACTGATACCTTTCAAGCTTTAAGTTGGTTTTATTTTTCCCCTTAAACAAAGTAACTTCTTTTAGCCCAGACCCCACAAGTGCTTTCTCTGGTGCTAAAAACTATCGTTATTCACACCTGCATCATGTCAGGATCTATACTGTAAGACAGTTTTTATTTACGGCTGTTCATTTGGTACAACATTGGTTCCTTTAACTCCGCCATGACCACCTGGGTTTCTCTTTTGCCTTTCTACAGCAGGTCAAATAAGCCAACAGGTCTGCCCGCTCCTGTTGGCCAGCCACATTCATTCAGATATATACCGATTGATACACTGTCCTCTGCAAGTCTAACAGACTGCAGGGACCTTCAA